TTCAGTGAAGTCACTTTCGAAGGGACCGACACTGCAGAAAAATTTGGCGAATGGTTGTTATCCCCCCAGCACGAATATTTCAAAGTATTTGCTCATAATATGAAAGGTTACGACGGTTATTTTCTGTTAGAGTACTTAATAGACCAATCCATGAGACCGGACAAGATTATTTACAGTGGCTTCAAAATTATGTATATGACAATAGAGTCAGATTTACATGTCAGAGTGATTGACAGTTTGAATTTTTTACCTATGAAATTGTCCGCCCTCCCTAAAGCGTTTGGATTGACTGAATTAAAGAAAGGTTGGTTTCCCCATTACTTCAATACTAGCGAAAATCAAACTTATGTACGCCCGTACCCAGATGCTCGGTGTTATGGTCATGATTTTATGAGTGAGAAAGAGAGAGCTGAATTGTTAGTGTGGTTGAGTGAGAGAAAGGACGACGTGTTTGATTTGAGAAAAGAAATATTAGATTATTGTAGGAGTGATGTAGATATTTTAAGACAAGCGTGTTTGAAATTTAGAGAGTTGTTAATGAGTGCTAGGGTGAAAGAATAGAGGCGGTGAATGAAAAAGGAAAGAAAGAAAAAACTTGGGTCGGAGCCGTGGATCCATTCGATTCCGTGACCATAGCTTCCGTCTGCATGAATGTCTTTAGAACCAAATTTTTAGAAGAAAAATGGAAAGTAAAATTAGAGGGCAGTGATGATTGGATACCTTCAAAATTAATAGACGGAAAGCTTTATGTGTTGCGTGGAAATGAATGGATCCTCGAAACCAAACTCACGGGTGAGAAAGTAACTGAGACAGAATTTGTAAGGACACCCATAGCGAAAATTCCTCCTAGTGGTTATAATGATCAATATAGCGAAGCGTCCATACAATGGTAAGAATGGGTGGCGTGTACAAAAAACGTCAAAATTCAGCATGCTTTAAATAAGGGAGAGAAATCTTTACCGGGAACGCGTTACAAATTCGACGGTTACTGTGAAGAAACAAACACGGCCTATGAGTGCCATGGTTGTATTTTTCATGGATGCCTTGATTGATTCACAGATAACCGAGAAGAAAAGCGCCACCTACTCACTAACCAATCATTAGATGAATTGTATGCGTAAACAATGAAAAAGAACGCTTACATTCAACAGTTAGGCATGAAATACGTTTGCATTTGGGACCACGAATTCAAAAAACAAAAGATTCAAAATACTAAACTGAAACAATACGTAGAAAGCTTAGATATAATTTATAGGTTAGACCCGAGGGAAATTTTCTTTGGGGTTCGCACCAATGCCAGTCAACTCTATTACAAAGCAGACGAACAGGAACAAATCAAGTACGTGGATTTCACGAGCTTGTATCCATGGGTGAATAAGTATTGTAAATATCCCGTAGGACATCCTACCATCATAACCAAAGATTTTAAAGATATCAAGAGCTATTTTGGTATAGCTAAGGTTAAAATACTACCACCTAGAGGATTATACCATCCCGTGATACCGTATCGCTCAAATAACAAGTTGAAATTTCCCCTATGTAGGACCTGCGCCGATGCTAAGAATCAAAACCCATGCGCATGTTCTGAACAAGAAAGAGAGTTGACTGGTACGTGGTGTACTCCAGAGATTCAAACGGCCGTTAAATTAGGATATCAAATCAAAAAGATTTATGAAGTATACCACTGGGAGGAATCCACACAATATGACCCAAAGACCAGATCAGGGGGACTGTTTGCCAATTACATAAACACATTTTTAAAGTTTAAGCAAGAGGCAAGCGGTTCTCCTGACTGGATACACAATGAGCAAGATATGACAAATTATGTGTCTCAATACTTACAGAAAGAGGGAGTTTCAATGGATCGGGCAAACATCTCGAAGAACCCGGGTTTGAGAGCTCTGGCTAAATTATGTCTCAACAGTTTTTGGGACAAGTTTGGTCAGAGACTCAATATGCGCCAGACAGAGTTCTTTCACGAACTACAGGCCAACCTGTTCTTTCAGTTGTTTGCCGATCCGACGAAAGAACCTCTGAATTTTCACATACTTACCAATGACATGATACAAATAGAATGGCAATATAAACAAGACTGCCAACCCGAAGATAATAAAACGAACAACTACTTAGCTACATTTACTACATGCTGGGCCAGACTCAAACTCTACAGTGTGCTCGAAAAGCTCGATAGACGAGTACTGTATTACGATACGGACAGCGTCATCTATGTGAGTCGCCCTGAACAGTATGATCCGCCATTAGGAGATTTCTTGGGTGAACTCACGGATGAGCTGAGTGGAGGAGAGCACTTTGTATAATTTGTGTCGGGTGGTCCTAAAAATTATGCCTATATAACCAACAAAAACAACGAAACTTGTAAAGTTAGGGGTTTCACATTAAATTATACAAATAGCCAACTTATCAACTTTGAAAGTGTGAAAGAAATAGTTACAGATGGAGAAAGTGATAAAAGTATTATTGTAACCAATCCTAGTAAAATTTGTAGAGATAGAAGAAAAAGAAAAATGTATAATAGAGAAGAAAAGAAAAGTTACCAGATGGTGTATACCAAACGTAGAAGAATTGAACAATTTGATACTGTACCATACGGATGTTAGATAAAATGAATGTAAAATATGCTGTATTTGTAATAAGCATTTCTATTTTTGTCAAGTATGTTGAAGTTTTTGTCACTAGCGTTTAAATTTTTGTCACTAGCGTTTCATTTTTTGTCATTAGCGTTTCAGTTTTTGTCACTAGCGTTTTAGTTTTTGTCACTAGCGTTTCAGTTTTTGCACGTTTACATGTAAATTTCCATAGGGCGCGTTTCAGTTTTTGTCACTAGCGTTACAGTTTTTGTCACTAGCGTTTCTATTTATGTTTTTGTTTTTTCAATTTTTGTCATTACTTTTTCTGTTATTTGTCACGTGTTGTTTGAAAAATGTATATTATTGAATAAAAGTATGTAAGAATATAATGTCTTTGTATTTTATTTTCAATATAAAACGTAAGAATATGAATCCTACAGACACTCACACACCAGAGAGGGAAACTTTTATACGTTTTCCACACTCTAACGAAGACGAAAGCAGGTCCACTAGTGACCGTTGGCATTTATTAGGAGCACGAGTACCCCAGGCTGAAATTGTCTATTTTTGCCAAATGATCATTGTCTACATTATTATCATTACCTCTATCATTAACTTATCTCTTCAAAACGGTGCTAGCGAATTGTGGATAAGTCTATTAAGTAGCTGTATAGGATACGCCTTACCCAGTCCAAAGCTAAAGAAATAATGAAGTCATCCCTACCGTTCGAACCATGCTCCAGTATATGTATAAGTGGTCAGACAGGAAGCGGAAAAACGCAATGGGTGTACAAATTTTTGCAAAACGTGAAGGATATGTATTCTGCAGACCCACCAACACACATCTTATATTCTTATGGAATTCATCAGGATTTATTTGATGAGATGGAAAGATCCATTCCAAACTTTTATAGTAAACAAGGGCTTCCAACAGTGGAGGAACTGGATCATTTTACCCAAGACAAGAGACATAAACTTATTATCGTTGACGATCTTATGCACGAAGTTATGAAAAACAAAGATATGGAGCTTCTTTTCACGCAAGGATGTCATCACAGAAGAGTGTCTGTCATACTTATCACGCAAAACTTGTATCCAGGAGGTAAACATGCTAGAACAATTGCTTTAAATACATGGTATATGGTATTGATGAAAAATTTAAGAGATGTCTCTCAGGTGGGAATATTGGGACGGCAGTTGTATCCCGGTAAAAGTAAAGGATTTGTTAAAGCCTATGAAGACGCCCTAAGCACAAAGCACGGTTACTTTTTGGTAGACATGAGTCCACATGCTGAGGATAAATATCGATTACGAACTCAAATTTTCCCGAGGGAGGACCCTATAGTCTACAGATTAACGTAAGAAGCAGTACGAAACTTGTAAGAGTAATTATGGTCGAACTCATCAAACAGCAACGCCATATTTTGAATTTACTAGTGGACGCTACAGTGAGTCCCAAAGGAAAGCATTGTTAAGAACAGTTACGAAAAAACAACTAAAAGTGCTAGCTCAAATCGCCTACAACATTCTGCGATTCACGATAAAATTGACGTCTACTGAAAATCACTTTTTAAACGACATAGACGTTTTATCTACTTGCTTGGAAACAAAAAAATGGATTTCAAAAGAAAAAGAAGCTATTCCAGGCAACCTGAGAACAATATATATTTTGGTGAAAATTACCTTAGCGTATTTGGAACCTGTACTACAATAATGGAAAAGTTTATTCTTTTTCCTTACGAAAAGTACCAGCGCATACTGCAGCCTAGTTACAAAGGGTTTGGAGAAGTAAAAGATGACCATTTTATCCCACCTAAAGTGTCTTGCCGCCACCTGGGGAACGTGAAAAGAAAACAAAAAGTGTGAAGAAACCCAAAATGACTCTTAAAACTATTGACAAAACTATTTACTGGATTTATTAAAGAAACAACAAAGACAATGTTCTTCTCTTTTTATATTTATTGATACATACAAAATAAAATACATATAAATACATTTTAATGTCTGTTTTTATTTACAATATATATCATTCCATTGTCTATCATTTACATTAAAAGGTTTGACAAGGTCTTTTATAGTACTTCCTGTACAAAATGTACATCTGTCCATGATATAATATACACAATACAGTCCACAGGTATCTGATTTAGTGTCCTGAATAGGATCACACACCATCCAAAACGTGTTCGTTAATACAGTTTCAAAGCCCACATTGTAGTCACTTGGTATTTTTCCGAGAGAGTTAAAGAACTCGTACGGTCTTGTCTTGGAAAATAAAAGGTAACCTAATGTTTCCCTGGTCCATTACTCGTGTCTGTATTAGCGATTACGAATTTTCCTTTTTGTTTACGGATTTGATCAGCAGCGCACACCTGGACTGGGTATCCTTCAAGTAAACGTTCCAGTTCTAAATTATTCATTTCCTATAGACGGCCCTTGGTTGTCAATATTGAGTACTTCTGGGAATGTGGCGTACATAATCAAGGTGACGCTCTCTGGTAAAGCCTCTGCAAACTTGAGTTCTAGACGACAATGGCCCCTCCTTTTCGTGTTGAATGAATAGTAGGGGTCAATATCTAGGGCATACAAACAGTAGCCATTCTTATAATCTTGTCTGGAGATGTTCACATCGCTTCTGTAGAGAGCTAATGTTCTGTAACACTCAACATACTGATCAGCCGTATAATTAGGTTGCATCGTTTGGCTAGGTAAAGACTGTCCATCCACATAGAGTCCTACAAAGCTGCAGTTGTAATGTTTAAAGTTGAAATGGTTCTGCGCGTAATCACCATTAAACGCGGCACTCGGAACTAGACCTACAATCAGTTTACTGGGCACTAATCCTTGAAAGATATCGTCCGCGCTGTAACTGAATTGACCCGTAGCAATAGCTGTCGTTTTGATCTCTGTGCGTAAGTAAGGGTATACGGCTGGTGTGTCTTGAATAAGTTTTTCGTGCGCTATAAGTACGCTACTAGCTAGACGTTGAATACATAGTTTAAAATATGCGTCCACTATTTTCACTCGATAATCGGGATTGACGGTGCCTGTAATTAATCTAAATGGGTCTCTGGTAGGATGGAGTTTTATACCTACAGAGACTCCGTTAATGAGTAGCTTCGACTGTTGAAAAGATTCAAAGTGTAATGGTCCTTCCGTTTCTACAATTTTGCTACCTTTAGCGAGTCTGTATCTGAAAAATAGTCCACCATTACTTCCTGTTTTACCATCATTGGTACCAACGTCTCCCGTATCTTTATGGAAGAGTTGGCTGGTCAGTAGGTTAATTTGCATATTTTCGTTGGACTGTAATATCGTGTCGATGACCGCTTTATAGGGATAATTGATTCCTGTATGCGAAAAAGGCGTTTGTTGAAGAGATACATCGATCTGACCGAATATGGTGTGTAATGGTAAATTGATAGGACCAACTACTTCGTCCGGATCTACTGCACTACCGTCCCCGTGGACTATTTGCAGTTTTAGGTTGAGCACGCTTCTTTTTAGATCCAAGTACGCCGATGTATGACCCGGTATATTAAATTCGAGAGCGGATGCGTTTGTCACTTGATTTACTGGACGGTATGTAATCCATTCTCTCGATTGTAATGACGTGTCTGCAGGGGGTGTAACAAACAAAGACAGCTCTTTCTGATGAAAATTTTCCATGTTTAAAATTGAAATTCTGGATTTGTTCTATTTCGTTTAGATGATTTGTAGGCGGTTATAGGTGTCTTCTTACGCTTTTGAGGCCCCTTCTTACGCTCTTTGCCCAATTCAACCTTCTTACGATTGACCTCTGACTTTGCTATTTCTATCGCTTGTGCTACGGGTGAGACCAGTTTTACTTGAGGAGGTTGTTGTCTCATTTCGGTCAGGTTTCTAAGATGATTACCGCTACCGACGATGTAACGGCCTCTGTGATCGGGTCTTACATAACCCTCACTCATATCCTTGAAATGTTGATACCATTTTTCAGGGTTGGGTGTATAGGGTACCAATTTTTGTTGTTTGTGATCGTTAACTTCTATGGAGCCTATACTTTTTGAAATGTAATACACAATGAAGATCGTTGGAAATGAACTCAACTGAGTTTAAATCTTCGTCTCTCAAATACAAATGTAAGGAGTTGAAATGATTCACAGTCACTGGTGCGTATACTGGGTGGCTATATTCTAAAAATTGAAGTTTCTTGTATCTCGAACCGACTTCAATATTTCTAAGTACGGGTACTTGCGTATTTCTTACGTTTGTTGTATCAGGTTGCAGCATAAATACAGTCTTTTACTTTTAGGCGTAAAGTCACAGGTGAGAGTAATTTCTGTCACAGCGCAAATCCAATGTCCATCAAAGGTGTACGATTTGGGAAACTGAATATAAAAGTCTGCGGGTTTATTGTTCTTACGTATGTCCTGAGAATCACTACTACTGAGATATAGGTAAAAGTCTGACATGTTTGTTTGCTTTCACACAGACATATGACCACTGTCTTCTTACGCTTCTCTAGTTGTCCGTATTTCGTCCATAATAGTGTCTAAGAGATACGGTGGTCTTAACAATACGGATACAAACGAGTGATGACGTCTTAACAGAGATTTCTTTCTAGTCAGCGACACATTTTCAGAAGCTAGGGATCGTAGCAAATTTTGTCTTCTTTCAAGTAATTGAACATCTCTTCTCGGGGGATTAATGGTTCCATTCACCAATCTTTTGGCCACTTGCACTATAGCCTTCATATGACCCCCTGTCATATTAGTGATCATATTTTTTCTAGCAGCTACAGTGGCATCTTTTAACTGAAGAAGGAAATTGAGTTTACGGTACACTTGAGACTGATTCATGGTTGATTTCTCTCAGCGCTCACTCTTTCTTACGTGTGTAGAGTTCCAGCTCAATAAGTACAGGGTAGACTATGTCATCTATTTGTGAAAGCGACTTAATCCCAGTAATCACCACTTTACCAGTATGAAAACAACAAAAGTTGACTCCTTCTCTTTTAAAGTTTAGGGCGGGAAACAACTCTGGTTCATAGATAATCTGTCTTTCTTTTGCCAACAATGGTAGATCTAAGGCGTTACTTAAGGTATGACTTGCGGATATTGTTATCAATTTGATCTCTTTCAGCCGTACTGTAAATCCGAGACGTTGTATACGTCTTTCATATTGACGTAGTCTCTGACGCCCCTCTGTAGCACTGGGTGCCTTTCCGTTGCAATTGATTACACCATTGGCGAAAACTAAACATTTTCCGCCAATGGTTTTGTGTTGCCAAATCAATCCGGAAAATGTTTTTGGATCATAACGAGCGTTTGCTATACGATAGCATAAATGCCTCAAGTCAATGGAACAGCTAAAGTTAACGCTGCACACGACGTTGGTAATTATCATGATGTAAAGTTTCAATATCATTAATGACAATTTCTCTGGGGGGGGGGGGGGTATATCTCTAATTTAGAAACATCCGCAGATGTGTTCATACGGCGGTTTTCATGGAACCTTCAATGTGACACTTCCGTACCATTCCATGAAAAGCGGCGTATGGTCCCCAAGTAATAAAAAGCGTGTGCCCTAAACGAGAAAACAATGGGCGGAACTAAATAAAATGGAATTTTGAAAGGGGATCAGAGGTTATGAAGCCTGCGTATCACAGATAAGACGTCAAAAGACAAATTTAAAAAGCAGGCAACATATCATAAGGGTGATTCAACATTATTCAAGTAGTAATATTGGAACCACCCAACTAGAAAATGCCGAAAAGTTGAAACTAAAAATACCACAAGCACAACAATAATGTCGTGCTGAACGATCTTCAAGGATCGAGAATATAACATCATTGATTAAATGTACGGGGAGACTTTTTTACAGCCGCCACACGGCACAAATAACACGGATGTGATCATAAAATAGATAAATACAGAATATCTAAAGAAAGCCCAACACGGCAATATTGAAAATGTTGCAGGCTCGGTTTGATTGAGCCTATCCAAGGACGGTACTGGAAAGTGCAAGTTACCGTCCACGCCCCCTAGCACCGGATTAAGCAGAATTCAACATTTAAACATGAAATAGTAAAATTTTGAATTTAGAAACATCCGCAGATGTGTTCATACGGCGGTTTTCATGGAACCTGCAATGTGACACTTCCGTGCCATTGTATAAGACTTCTATGTATAGTTGAGTTATATGAAAGTGTAATATTCCTGAGCACGTCAACGTAACGTTGGGTTCTGTTTTTTATCATATATCTAAACAGTTTATGCTTTAGCGTCTTGATACATATCTCTGCAAAGTTCGCTTTTGTCTCCGTATTTAAAGCGTAGAAGTGATGAATGTTCTTGTGCTGAAGATATTTATTGACCTCTTTGCTTCTTAACTCCATGCCTCTGTCTGTTCTCACCGTATTTGGTTTTCTAGGACCGGATAAAATTCGCTCTAATGCATTAACAACATCACCCTCTTTCTTGGTTTTGATAGGTTCACAATAGCCAAAGCGAGAAAAATATCTATTGCCACTAAAACGTATTTATAACCGTCATTATGTTTGGCCAAGTCAACCATATAAGATAAGTAGAATAAAACTCACACAAGATATATGTAATGGTGGGCTTAGAGCGGTTGACTTAATACATTTCATCAGTGCTTTGAAAATCACTTGGATAAGAAGACTTTTATCTTCAAACACTAAATATGCTTTTCTGGTACAAGAATTGTGTCCAGCTCTTTACCAGTCGACCAAATATGGTAGTGACTATTTGTTACAACATAAAAGTAGAGTAAACAATTTGTTTTGGAAGGGTGTTTTGAATTCATTTTATTTATTTCAATGTAAAATTCGTTCAGGTAATTGGGCAGATTTCTTGTCCAATCCGGTATGGTTAAATCCTAATTTCAAAATTGCAGGAAAATCGTTTGAATTTAAACACTACTTAAGAAAAGGTGTTTTGTTTGTCAACGATTTTGTAAAAGAAAATGGGTTGTTTTATAGTTTTCAAGAATTTCAAAGATTATTTGATGTTAGATCAAACTTTCTTGAATATGAAGGTATAATACGTTCCTTCAGAAAAACTTTGACGGATTTTCATGTAAATCAAAATGATATCAAAGTAAAAAACCCGATATTGCCAATTGCCATCCAAATACTTAACAAAAGTCGCAAAGGATGTCGCGCAATATACGACGTGCTGGTCAATAATAATCGTCAGACAAAATCAGAAATAAAATGGCAAAATGATTTTTCTAATATTTATCTTAATTGGAAAAGTATCTACTCTTTACCCTTTAAAGTGACTAAGGATCCAAAACTTTTATGGCTTCAATATAGAATAACGCATCGTATTTTAGGTACTAATGTAGTACTGAAAAAGATTAATGTTAGGGACAACGACAACTGTACATTTTGTAATGTCAATCCAGAAACCATAAAACATTTATTTTGGGAATGTGACATAGTCAACATGTTTATAAGGGACGTGCAGGACTGGTTAACAAACAAAATTCCAAATTTATCTTTTCATTTTTCAGAACAATCTGTCGTTTTCGGCTGTTCCCGATTCACAGTTCCAGAGAATAATATATTATTATTATTAAAACATTATATTTACAAATGTAAAATGAAGTCCGTATTGCCATGCTTAGAGGCTTTTAAAAATCAATTACTATTTTTGGTTAAAACAGAAATAATCAATGCCAAAAAAAAATGCTTAGGTTTGAAACAATGCAGGATGTATGGAAAGAATACAAAAACTTAATCAATGAAAATGAAAGTACCTAACATTATTAGCTGTAAAAAATTGTGACACTTATTGTTGTTGTAACTTAACTCTTAAATAATTGAACGTTTGTGCAGAGTAAACTTTGCCTTTTAAAAAAAAATATAATAAGAAAATACATATAGTACTTTGCAAATGTATGAATTTGTGTGTATCACTTCACAACATTGTTAGTACATCAAATTTCATGGTATTGTATTATTGTATTATTTCATGACTTTTATTGTTTGCATTGTACAATAAAGAGAAATAAAAAAAAAAAAGAAGAAAAAAAAAATTCAACCATATCCATCAAGTCCATATCCCATTGACTATCTATCCCTTCTACAATGACGCGTGATCGAGGAAACTTCCTTCTGGCTCCTCTAGTCAGGGAATAGGCCTGCTGACTTTGAAGCCATTTTCGGATTTTATGCCTCCCGATTTTAATTTTCCCTCAGACTTGATATATTGGTACAATTTTTCTACACCTGAATAGCTTGCTGGGTTGGATGTGTCAAAATACAAAGAAGACAAATATTGTTTCCAGTTAGACATGTTTATTGACAACAAATACAAATATACATTCTTACAAAATTATGACACATTTTACAATACAGTGGAGTATAAAGTATGTGTTCTGGTTTCTTCTATATAGCGTTCCAAAATGTCGAGTAAATGTCCTGTAGCTTCGCGATATTCTCGTCTCACTTGATAGTGTCTCAGCCATATCCAAACCATACAGACACGTGTTAACATATTCAATGCGTCTGGTGGGTCGTGATAGCCTTATTATTGACAAACAAGTTTGCTCCAGTTGTAGTTGAACTTAGTCCTCCAAAGCCGCAAGGTGTTGGCTTAGGTGTTGATACAAACGCGCCAAATCCGCCTATTGGGATCGGTTTTTGTTGAGGAGCGCCTACTATTTTAATATATTCGCAATGGGGTGACCACTTGTAATGTTCTCTCAAAGCGTTGTCTGATCTTACTAAGTCACTCAATTTAATGTGACATCTGAAACACTCTGATTTTCCGCTATAATACAATCCCGCACTTGCTAACTGATATTTATCTGGTATCATTTGTTTCGGATAGGTTTCAAACGTCTTCAGTCTATTTTCGTAATATTCCATATTTTTGTTGAGGGGTGTGCAGTCAGTGACGTTCAGTTTGTGTATGCCAAAGCTTCGTGGGGTATTCATTTATATACGCGCTGTTTGATTTTTGATTTGATGTTATTTTTAGAATGAGGTTATCGATCTATTTATAGTACTTTTGTCATTGCTATTTATAGTCACGTTATTTCACAAGTTTCCACAATCATTGGGGTTGCATTCTAGGCATTGTAGAGCTCCAATCTGGTTCATGTGATCACTTTGTAGATAACAGGGCACCACTGCATCCAATTCAGGTAACACTCGTCCTATCTCTACAACAAGTTCCTTTAAACAGGAATACTCTTTGGGTCTTAAACATATACCCTTTTTAGTTGGTACTATTTCCTGTTCTGGCTTCCAGTATTGTCTAATGTCTACACATACGCTGTTGTCGGTGATGTTACAGTAGACATTTCCTCCAACGTGGGACCTATAGTGTTGCTTGTCTTGTAAAGCTCTGTCCACATATTCTAACTGATCTATCAGGTTTTTCCATCGCATTAACGTTAAGCTGATGCCCTTTTTTGTTGGTTTGTCATCCTGCCATTCTCTGATATCGACTCTCAGCTCGCCTTTTCATTCATTAACTTGTACATATCTCTGATTACCGATACTGAATTTGCATCTGTAGCTAGTCATATTTATTGGTCGAGTATCAAAACTCTTATGACCAGTGTAAGTGTATCACTGTCTTATATACAACAGAGGTCTCTCCTGATTGGTCACTTGCTTTTTGCATTTGATTGGCTGTCTAAAGAAACGTTTTTATTGGTAGTTATTTTTAGAATAGAACATCATTGCTAATTTTAGATATATACATCATCAAACACGTGACTCCTTGTAAAGGTTTATTTTTAACATTTCAAAAGACTATTGTTAACCCATCCGTCCTTAAATCAACACACGCTAAACGTAATGGCGACTTTAAAGAGATTAACTTTGGCATCTCAAAAGTCCTTTGTTAGTGTATCCGTCCCTAAATTAACAAACGCCAGACCAAGTGGCTACTTTAAAGGGATTAACTTTGACAGTTAAATGGACCATTGTCCCCATATCCGTCCCTAAGTAAACATACGCCAGACCAAGTGGCAACTTTAAAGAGATTAATTTTTACAGTTGAATGGACCATTGTCCGCACATCCGTCCCTAAATAAACATACACCAGACACTGTGACTACGATCACGTTTTGACCATATTAAAAAACATAAGCTATTTGTATTTTTCTAATTCTAGTTTATTTGCTTTTATTTATTAAAATGTTAAGCAGGTATTTATTTTCAGACAATTCTTTTATAAATGATAATATTTATCTCTCCGTCTAGGGACGAGGACCTGACCTACAATGTCCGCAATTCAAGCCCTAGATCGTGTGTACGAGTCAGCTCCGTATACTTCCGGGAGATTAAAAAATAGATTTCTAAAAATAGACGAATGCTAACATTCTAAAAATAGAACGATAATGTCATTCTAACTATAGAATCTAATATGGCGTCGCGCATGCGCAGTCGTGGCGCTAAAGAGGCGCATATACTACTATTGTACAATCGTTGTTTCACGCTCGTACCATTGTGTTTTCACCATCGCACCATCGCGTTTTCATCAACGTACCATCGTGCCATCGCGCTGTCACCATTGTACCACCGTGAACGGAATTTAGTATGTTTCAGTGTACGCCTTCAGGTGAAGCCAATCAATTTTTTGAATTAGAGATATTATAATTAATAGTAAACTTCAGGTTTTCATAAAGAAAGCATAAGGAAACCTATTGATGATTACACTTGACATGAGGTAAAACATTTCTGCCGTGGAGAAATATGTGACAAATAATTCATGAAAAATGACATGAGACAAATGTGCTTTTTTGTCCCTTAAAAACACATGAGACAAATGTGCTTTCTTGTCCCTTAAAAAACTTGTTCGGAGCACATTTGTTACACAAATGATTTTTTGGGGGTAGACATTTTAGGTCCCATTTGTCTCATGTGGGACAAATGCGACCGCATTGGTCTTACGTAAGACAAATGTGCTCCGAGACAAATGTGCTCCTACAGTGCTGCTATCATTTCAATACATAACAGTATGCATTGAAACATTGCCACTTTATACAGAGAAATAAGAAACATGTATATATAATAAAAACAATTTAAAAGAATAATTTATACATGATTTATTACCCCCACTGAACCTTCAGTTCACAAAAAGTCTAATAACACTACTTCAGAGAACTCCAAGAAATCTAAGAATAATAAAATAGAGAAATACAGAATCCCTAAAGAAAGTCCAAAACGTAAGAATAATAAAACCACATAAAGATCGAAGCTTATACATGTTTATAGGTCTATGTTATAAGTGTTTGTACATATATCACTTCAGTTTATAGGCTCGTGAAAATGATGTTTTTTTTCCAAAATTTATAAAGAGAAAGAACAAATCGCGGTGCAAACAAATGACCAAGCCACGCGGAAATCTCCGGGACATATTACTTGGGTTAGGGCTTTAGGCCTTATAATGTTCAAAGTAGACCCTCCAAAGTTGTACAAAATCGAATTTGCAACGATATTGGGCGAATGTTTTTTTCCACAGTTGACACGAGAAAATGATGCATATTATGTAACGATTATTGATTGATTTATAAGCCTGCCCCGACAGTATATAAGACATCTGTGACATAACATTGTGTTCTGGGGTTGGATTTACATAAAATTTTGTATATGTGCATGCCTCGCGGGCTTTTAAATATTAAGCCTTAATGGATTCGAATGAAATGTGTTCAATACAATTAGATTGAATGATTCATCTTCTATCGGATTATGCAAGATAAAAGTTGTCCGATCTATCGATTCAGACAATAAATAATACATTTTAAGTAAAAACTAAAACAAAAATGCTAAAAATGAAACACTATTGAAACCGGACATATTATTTATAAAGATACATTATTCAAATCAAGTGTTTTTTCCTTTATTTTGAAATACGTATTTTCCGAAAATAAGAGGCGTTCCGAAGCTGTTTCTTAACAAAGTCATTTATCGACTTTAGAAGAAATGAAAGGAAAATAAACAATAATACGCCCTAGAATTTGAGAGGATTTTTATTTACTTAATAAGAATATGTTTAAATGCATGGTAATCAAATATACATGACCAAAATGACTTTTTCGAAGTGAATTGAATTGATAACAATGGTGTCCGTTAATTATTGATGCTTATCAAAACACCCTTCACGGGCCTCTTCAAATGATTATTACTCACAGTAAGGCAAACGGCATAGCGTAGACGATAGTGATAGTGTAAATACCGTGAAAATGCTTAAGTTGTTGTTGATTATCGGTGTTGTTTTGTTTGTCTTATCAGGTAATTATTTTTTATATAATTATACATGTGATTCTTTTTAAATGTAATAAATAATTGTATATTTTATAAATTAATACGTTATTACACAGTTTAAGTTTTTTTTTTATTTTCTTCTCCGACGGTATCAGAAAACAAGATACGTAGTATGTAAACACGATTGTGTTCATGTATGTATTACTTTTAGGACAATGTCCTGGCTTAAAAACAACTCGTGTTTTGGATGTCATTGTTGTTACTTGTAATTAATTACAGTTTACATTCTTAAGTGCATTTTTGAGGGTTAAATATGTTATGTTGGATAAAGTAAACACGCCCCCAGTTTTTTTTCTATTCTATATATAGTAATGATGTAGTTAGTTTGTGTTTCAAGAGAATTGGTCTGTAATACAATGAATAATTACGTTGATAGTATTTGAGCCGCATCACGACAAAACCAACATACTAGGTTTGCGAACAGCATGGATCCAGACCAGATCTGATCAGGATCCATGTTGTTCGCTATCAGGTTCTCTACTTGTAATAGAGGGTTGGTATAAGCCCTGATCAGACTGACAACAAACAATGAAAGAATCATGCATGGAAGTTGTTGGCAAGAGTGAAATACATGATACAATATCAAATATATTCATAGAACAGATAATAAATTGTTCTAAATCAAATTATTATTATTTATCAGATAATTTAAATGATCATTCTAAAACACTTGGATCTAGAACTTTATCAACACTTGTTTATGCAGCATTTAATAAGAATATCCAAATGATACATTTCTATCGATTTTGTCATTATTTGAAATACTAATGAAAATGTGCCCCACTTTAATGGCGGTTGACCTAGCCGCCCACAGGGCACAAAAACATCGTTAAAAAATATCCATGAAAGATAAACACCTTTAACGTCTAGAAACTTTTGAACAAAAAAATCAGATACAAAACGAAATTAGATTTTTTTTTTTTTGATTTACCAGTAAAAAAAAAATATCTGCTAGATATTTATACACTTGCTGCAAATGCAGAAATACTGTAAAGTTATGACTGGTAATGATATCTTAAAGATATCATAAATTATACAATTTTGTTTATAGATTGTGAAAATATCTCATACATTATGCTGATATTTTCATAGTCAATTTGAGCTGAACTGAATATTTGCTTCAAAATATTGACTGTTAAAATGGTGATTGACCAACAATTTATATTGGAAAATGTTTGGGACAAAATTGTTTAGGATAAAATTTTAAATCTGCCTAAAATATTAAAAGACTGTCCCACTCTTTTTATGAACTGAACGTTACAGGTAAATTCTAATGGATATTTACGAAAAAATCGTTTGATTTCATGTGTTGTTTATTGTTTATGTGAAATAATTGTATATTATAGAAGGAATTATGGCAAAATGAAAACTTATTTTGACTTTCACCTGTTCACTCATTTATACACTTGGATGGGGATAATGTCACTTTAAACGCATATACAGACCTAATATTCGATTATTTTTTTATTTTATTTTTTTACTTTTCAATGAACTGTAAGAAGATAATCTGATACAACAATATCAGCCATTTTAATGGCATTGGCTGAATCTGGAGGCTTGCTTCTCTAAGATTTAGTTGATGTAAATTAGACACGAGGTAAACACACACGACTTATCTTTGAAGCAATCGTACGTTCATCCTTGAGTTTTTATCATAATTATACATTAACGCTCAAGAAACAAAAGAATGGCGGTAGATCTTGTAAATGTGTAGGCGTATTGTTGGGCGTTTAAATTGTATATATTGTTTAATTGTTAGTTTTGCAGATGTATGGCTACCTCCTCCTCTTTATATTGTTTCAGGTTATTACATGTATATTTTTTGTGTATACATTTAGGTTCTCATTGGCCGACGTACAATGACTTACTTTTGATTAAGAAATACATATCTTTAGCTAATACTCCGTGGCAATCTTTCAAAAATTAACCCTGACATGACTGGGGTCCGTAGTTGCATCTTCTCGTCTCTTTCGTCAAACTTCGGCCGAGATGTTCAGAATGATGCTTTTTGTGCCTGGCGCTCATTTCGACAACATACATACATAGTTTTCCAGATAATTATGGCATGTGTGTTATCGAGTTCAATAATGTTGATATTCCATTGCGTTCGCCTGTAGCAGTATCAAATACAATCTATATCCGGATCAATAGCGCATATGTCCACCTCATACAAAGTTCAACTGTAAAGATTGTTTATGTTGACAGGTCAGGGCTCAGAAGCCGCGGACTGCTGTGGAAGTTACACGGACATTTCCGGAGAAAAACATAAAGCGGAACTATGTCCAGATTACTGTTGCCTAAAAATAGGCATTGCATATAAAGGATGCTGCGACGATTCCAGCAGGCAGATACCTGCGACTAAGAACCAAAATGAAGATTGTGTTAAAGACTGGCTTAGTCAGCATATGTAAGTATTAATTTTGGTACTTAAAGTTTTCCTATCCGTCAGTGACTCGAAGAGATAAAAAGGGCAGCGGTGGCCTAGTGGTTAAGGTGTTTGCCTTTCAACCCAGGGGTCATGAGTTCGAAGCATACTCGAGTCACGAACATGTTACTTCATATGACAGTACTGGTTGGTTCCATGAAGCGGACTCGAAAGTGATAAATATAAGTTGCAAGAACTTGTTTCGCAATCGAGCTTAAACTAAACTTATATGCTCTGTCTATTGCTATACTTTCGTAACTTTCAATTTCTATAATACAAATCTGCAATCATGAAACTATGGGTTTTGTAAAATAGATTGAAGAAACCTTTCACACGTCAAACCTTTCACTTGACATTATTTGCAGTCAGGAACTTGTTTGCTCCAAACAGGAAACGAAAAGTAGTTTGGCTTAAATGTATAAATAGAACAACATGAAACTATAGTGGCGGATTTGGAACACTTTTGTGCGTCGTGTTGTCGCTAGCGACAGCACAACAAAGTGCCAAACGGACTGTCGTCTTGTCGTCCTGTCGCTAACGAAACACGCAAAACAACGCATTGTCGTGCGGCGTATTGTCGCGATGTCACATTGTCACTGGGCTCAAATCGAAGGATTGCCTATTTGTATATATATAAGCCAAGTGATAAGGCGACAACGCGCCGCAAGACAACGCGCCGTTTGGCGTGCTTTGCTAGCGACAAGACGACAGTGCGACAACGCGCCGTTTGTCGCTAGCGACAAGACGACAATACGAGAAGACGATAACGATATAGGTTGTGTTGTCGCTATCGACAAAGCAACGCGAAAACACTACCAAATCATCCATCATAGGAAACGCTTCTTTTATAATTTACATTGTATTAAAAACAAGCCGTTTTCTATGGTGGCTGATTTTGTACAATGCGCGTTGCGTTTCGATAGGGTCGTCGCTATGTCGCCCTGTCGCTTGGCTTATAAGCCTATCCTTCGATTTGAACCGAGCGACAATGTGACATTTGGAGACATCGCGCCGTTTGGCGTACACCGTTAGCGACAGGACGACAAGACGAAAGTCCGACAACGCGTCGTTTGGCGCTTTGTCCTGTTGTCGCTAGCGCCAACACGACGCACAAAAGCGTTCCAAATCAGCCACCATAGTTTTCAGTCAAACCTTTTTCCGGTGAAAATTTAGAGTAAAATACAATTTTGACCGTGATAAAAGTGAACTACTTACATGTAAATAATTATTATAGAAGATACCGGAGCGAAAGAAGTGTACGAAAAGGAAGCAAAAAAAAAACGAAAAGAAAATCCTTATTTTTTGAAAGGAAATATTTGACATAGCATGGCAGAACATGTTATTATATAGAACAAAAAGCACAAGTTACGTGACCCCCCCCCCCCGCCGGGGCCCCCCCCCCCCTCGAAGGACTTGTAAACATTTTCCAATAATTACTTCTTCTCAAATTTTTCAAATAAAAAAGTAGCCATACTATATATCTAATGAAATTGATTAGAAATATTTTTAAAAATTGGTTTTGTCCTGATTAAATTGATTCTTTCATGGTAAAATCTATTTTGCTTTTGATCTATATGCAGAAAGCGCATGCGCAAGATATCTTCCGCGTTGATATGGAATTAGAGTAGAGTAAATAGTTTATAGTCATACAAAATTGATTTGTAAAGTGAAAAACATGAAACAATAAAATGAATGTGCATTTTTTTTCTTTAATTACAGATGGGTACCGATTGTTTGTGGCATTGTGGGATTGCTGATTATCATCGGTATTGTCGTCTGCTGCTGTTGCTGCTGTGGTTGTTGCAGACGATAAGTGCAGACGATACGTGTCAAAAAATAAAATGAGCCACGTCACGACAAAACCAACATAAAGGGTCTGCGACCAGCATGGATCCAGACCAGCCTGCGCATCCGCGCAGTCTGATCAGGATCCATGCTGTTCGCTTACCAACTATAACAAGTAGAGAAACTAATAGCGAACAGCATGGATCCTGATCAGACTGCGCGGATGCGTCGGCTGGTCTGGATCCATGCTGGTCGCAAACCCATTATGTGTGTTTTGTCATGACACGGCTCAAATACTGCTTATAAAGATCTGCAACAGAACTGCTGACAATAGATTTTCTCATATGCCTTACATGTAAACATTCGTAAATTTGCCGAAGAAGTGAATGACTTTTGGTGCACTTTAATGACGCTGAGCCATTTTTTATATATTTATATTATATAGATTATCTGAACAAATGACATGACAGAGACTAAACTTCCTGGATATTGTATGCATTGTGTTTATATTATATTGTGGTGGGAAATTGTTTTATTATTTTATGGTTGAATATCGTGTAGTCATATAATTATATATAAGTAGTTTTATTAAATTTTAATAATAGACTATTAGATTGTATATAATTATCATTTAGTTTCGTTGAAAGGTTACTTGGATGTAAAAGATACGTTTTCGGGTTGTTTAAAGTAGCATGCCTCCAGATTCAAGCTTATTAAAAAAAAAGGAAAAAAAAGGAAAATGTATTAAAAAGTAAAATTATATACAGTATAGGTTTAGGTAAATATTTGTTTTATGCTACAAAGCATCAAATTGAACTACTTAATGCTCTGTAAGTCAATGTATAAATTTGTCTCGTTATATTTGAGAATGATATTGTTTATTCTTGAAATTACTTGATAATGTGTCAATTATGAATCACTGCTAAATGCAATCTTATCACAGCATATGATTAAGCTTAAAATCCACTTTTTATATCTTTAAGAATGTAAACGCTTTTTCATAGCTAAGCTTACTTTAGTTCTAAATGCTGTTAACGTTCATGTTAACGTTCATTCTCCAAAAATATGTAAATTGAAAATTTTGTGCCACAACTTTTGTTCATGTACCATGATATCGTGTTTCATTGTACTATACAAATGTGTGTAAAATGACTATGTACTGAAAGTTTACGTCAATAAATTATCTATCTTTATAAGTGAACAAAGAAAGTTAATAACACATTTCAAACGTCAGCTTCAGTCCACGTAAATTATCAAGTAAATGTCAAGCTATACAAAAAAAGCCCTTACTCCGTGAGTCACGCAGTAGAAATGGGGGGAAAATACTGCTAAATCAGTCATTCATTGCATGTAACATGTAAATTATTGAGTAAATTATAAATATTTCTACTTCTCTTATAATCTTAGTACATTAATTTTTATTTAAGGTTGATTTTCTTTAATTCTTTTAGCTCATATGGAGGCATGTATCTTTACGTTTTAGCTAAGTAGGACCATTGGTCTAGAGACTTTTACAGTGATAACGAACACTTCATTCTTGTGAAATTTCACGTCTGTATAATCGTGTCGTTTATATTTTCTATTTACACGGCTATGCATAGCAAAGTTGTAAATTATTTTCTCTTTTTATAACCAAAATAAAGAGGTATTTGTACATTATCATCACTTCGTTATAAAAACTTTTGACAGTTTATATGGCCATATATGAATGGGTTTATGTTATATAAATCGCGTCTTGGGACATATTGTAATATTACCTATCAAAACTAAATCTCTGTTACTATAATAATAGACATTTTGGAAAAAAACGTATACATGTATGTCTATGGTATATAATTATCATGTGTTAGAACAAGAATAACTGCGAAATGTATGCAAAGGATTTGTCCTGCTTTAATTTAAAACAAACTTTTACGAAAGTTAAGGGTTTTCAATATCGGCATAGTAAATAATTTAGTTAATGCATAGTACAGTAGACTGGTAAAACTGGACAGATGTGCAGACTGGCATTGTTCTTGACTGGTGGAAGAGGCCAAGATAATTACTTCCGGTTCCAGCAGGTTAAGTGTAAAACAACGTTCAAAGTAGTTTTTTATGGTTGGTTATGAATCAAAACATTTCATAGAGACATAAGCTGGACAAATGTACATTTGAGCCGCGTCACGACAAAACCAACATAATGGTTTTGCGACCATCATGGATCAGGATCCATGATTTTCGCTATCAGTGTCTCTACTTGTGAAAGGGTTGGTAAGCGAACAGCATGGATCCTGATCAGACTGCGCGGATGCGCAGGCTGATCTGGATCCATGCTGGTCGCAAACGCATAACGTTGGTTTTGTCGTGACGCGGCTCATTTTTTTAATTCTTATTTGTGGTATATTGATGAAGAAAGACTTTTTTCCTTTCCAAGTGTTTAGTTTGCATGCATTTTATAATACTGAATAACACAATCGGGATAACTGAATGACTTTGCCGATATGTCACTATGGTGTTGTTTTTTATTGCATAATTGTTTTATATTCAGAACTGTATGCATTTTTATATTTTGTATAGCGAAAATAAATAAATATTAAAATGGCAATCTTTGCACAAATCGTTTTGCTCATATCTCAATGAAATGTACATTTAAAATTGTTTGATGAAGTTGTGTTTATCTCTTTCCTTGTTAAAAAAAGAGATTTGTAATGTCAAAATAGAAAAATAACGAAAGTGTGCATTATCAAAATATTATTCTCTCGTTAGAGAGAAACTTGAAAATAAAACAGTTCAGAAAAATAGTTGTACAATGTGTAGAAAATCTTGTAAACGTTATGTCAGTTTTTTCGGTCTGACCAAACTCATTATATGACCAACTCGCTATTAACACCAGATTTCCGAAATCCCTTCGGTGGTCTCATTAGTGAGGTTTTACTGAATATTCGGAATGTGAAGGGCTTTACATGACTTTGAAGATTCCAAATAAAGGTGGCGGCATTACCGAGTGGTTAACGCGTCGGACTTGTAATCAAATGATCGCTAGCCGCACGGGTTCAAACCCTGACATGGGCAAGTCGTTGTTTCCTTGAGCAAGAATTTTACACTCATTGCTCAGTACTTAGGTTGGTTCCAGGAACGGATTCGAAAGTGTGTTTACAAGCTAATAGCTTCCTACACAATCGAACTAAAATAAATTCTGTATAAACCAAAGCGATATAGATAATTGCCAGGCTACATTTGATTTTTATGGATAATAACTAAGTTCGCTTTTATATCATAATGTTAGTAAGTTGTAAGCCGACATTTTAAGAGAGCTGAATGGCTGATCATTAGCTCCATCATTTGGTCACTTGATTCAACTAAATATCTGTTAAGAGTTTTACAATATATTTTCAAAAACCATTATGAATCAGTCCTTATTACTTGTTGCAATATAAACGGAAATTTTGTCAGGGAAGAAATTTAACAAATGTGAATCCCCCCAGTGGATGATGTGTCGTTTGAAGATATTTGAGCCGTGCCATGACAAAACCAACATAGTGGGTTTGCGACCAGCATGGATCCAAACCAGCCTGCGCCTCCGCGCAGTCTGATCAGGATCCATGCTGTTCGCTATCAGTTTCTTTACTTGTAATAGGGTTTGTAAGCGAACAGCATTCTGTATAAACATGCTGGTCGCAAACCCATAATGTTGGTTTTGTCATGGCACGGCTCATTTGACACAGTCAACAGACAAAGGATACAAACACAATTAAAGTTCTGTGAGCAACCTATCACATGTACCTTTTACAATTTTCAAGGAAACCAGCGATCATAAGATAAACAGTTTCGCTTTCGCATCTCCAAATAATGTTTAGTTTATTGTCTTTTTCACAGAAACAAGTTACCATATAGGATTGTGAACCAACAGAAAAGAAACAAATGGTCATATAGATGTAATTTCTTTACACAATTAGCTGAAAATAAGTGGAAATGAATATAATTGAGCCAAGAGTTGGTGCATGTTATAATATCAAGATCAGATAACTCTTTACATGTTTATTCGTACAGTAAATGATATTACTTCGATCTATCTCTGGATACTGCCAACCCCTCTTACGAGTGTTATAGGCAGGAATTTAGTGCACGTCGGATTGTTAGTCAAAGGTGAAAAGAAAAGCTAAAAAAGAAAAGTCCAAGAATTAATATGCTTGGAAGGTAAGATTGAAAATGTATTCTAGTCATGGTTAAAATGTTAATAATGAAACAAGATGATAAGAGATAAAATAGTTTAAAAACACTGGGAGAAAGACTAGTACTGCAAACGCACCACTTCCTGTTTGACAGGGGCAATGTTGCTAGGAAGTTTATTCCATAGTATAATGCTATGAGGGAGGAAAGAGTACTTATGGTAGTCGGAGAATACCTGTATTTGGCGTAGGGATAAGGGGTGCATATGTCTGGTTAATCTATGTGGGGTTTGAACATATGTTGGGAGATTAATTGCAACTAGGTTATATATCTTATAAAACATTATCAGTCTACAGTCGAATCTGCGATGTTAAAGGAATCGCCAGCCCAGTTATTCCTGCATGACTGTGACACTAGAGTGAGGGGAGTTATCCCTTTTAACGTCTCTGGATCATCTCAACTTTGTCAATATTGGTTTTAGTGTAAGGAGACGAAATAGTTGAAGCATATTCAACCTGTGACCGGACTTGTATGCTAAATCTGTCACTTTCTCATTTTTAGTAACAACATTTCTTTTAATAAAGCCTGTTTGCATTGGAAGTTATTCGAGATATATCTGTATTAAATTTGAGGTCAGCAGACAGATCTAGTCCGAGATATTTAGCATTTGTAACAGACTCTAGGAACTACGGAAGAGCATTAGTGCCAGGTGTATGTTTTTTATTAACTCGAAATTTCGAGATACTAACTCGAAATTTCGACTTACTAACTCGAAATTTCGACTTACTTATTTCGAAATTTCGAGTTACTTATCTCGAAATTTCGAGTAACTTATCTCCGAAATTTCGAGTTAATAAGTCGAAATTTCGAGGTAGTAAGTCGAAATTTCGAGTTACTTATCTCGAAATTTCGACTTACTTACTCAAAATTTTGACTTACTTACTCGAAATTTCGACTTACTTACTCGAAATTTCGACTTATTAACTCGAAATTTCGACTTAAATTGCACGACTTTCATTGGTTACCGGTGAAACAGGGATTGAATTCAAGATACTTTCTTTCGTGTGTTGCTGTTGCACATTGACAGAGCACCTATGTATTTAACAGAACAATTTAATAGGGTCAAATTGTCCACACATACTGAACATATCCTTCGCTTTTTGTGGAGGGGGGGAGGGTATGTAAAATCACACTTTCCACATTTCCGTGTTAACCGGATGTTTCTTTTTCTAAAGCACACATACAACCATCATGTGGAGATACAACAAGTCCAAAACCCACCCTATTGTAAACTGTGCAACATTCATGTGTTAAATAAGTTTTAAATGGCGTGTATACGCCAGTTAGTCTGTCACGTTTCTTTATACTAATAATGTTTTTGTAACATTATTCATTATTTACTAAGACTTTGATTCATATTGTGTTGATAAAAGTTGATAAAAGTGGAACTTGTTGTTATATACATGTTGGGAATAATATAAAAGCATCCAATTTTACAAGAAATATAGTCATTCCAACAAATTTGACAAAAGCCCCAGCACCCCTATTTTGGCCACTCAGTGATACTTTCCTCAGATGTCCCACACGTGAAGTATAGGATCGTTTTATTCACATGGATGAGAAGAATATGATTAGTGAAAAGATATGGTCGAATAGGTAGAATCACATACAACGTCTGAAGAACGCCTGAACGTACACATTAAAGGAAGCCTTGTGTTTTTTTAGCTCTGGCGTGTACATGCCATTACTAAGTTTAAGTTAAACTTTAATAGTTTGTCCGGGCACCCCGTTTCTCCATCTCCATCGTTCTTGAAACCGCACTCCCTAAGTACTATATCTTATATATCTAAACACATGGTAACTCATAAATTTGGCCATTCCAGTAATGTTTACAAGAAAAGCATTGATGCAAAGCATCAAAGGGCGTCCAAGCAAGAAATGCAGCAGGTGCAGATGAACTAGTAGATATATGATGATAAACTGTTTAATGGTTCGTTGGTTTTTACCAGAATTGTATATCACTTATGAATGAACGAACGAAAGACATTGTTCATTATTTATAAATTTGATTGGCATGCTAGAAATTAGAATATTACTTGTTATTTCTTTATGATCGTGATTATTAATAGCAACGGATATACATGTATACAATCATTTATAATCCATATGAGTAACGCATGATCAACACCACACTTGTGTAATTGTCCCTTATTATGTTATCGCTATTAGCGAAGACCCCCTCTTAAGGTATCTGTTCACACTTAGTAGCAATATGACACTTGTTAAATTACCATGTTGATCATGTTGAGCATAAATGTTTATTATACACTAATTATAATATCTTTTTTAATAAAAAAATACAGATTTTATGAATACTGTTTTCTTTTCTTTTTTTTGTGCTTTATGCACTATTTTAATACTGAGTTTTTACGTTTACTATTATTTTAAGAATTCAATTGTCATAATGACCGACGATTATAAGTCAAAACTTAACTGGAAAAAGTCAGTAAATTAGGGTTAATCTTTCAATATATAATATTGTTTATTCTTAAACCATATACATGTACATTTGTATTTTTCTTTATCATTTCTTAAATTATCAATCAATTGAATAATTCATAAAATCTGATTTGTAACTTTGAATAATTCCTCGGCATCTTTACTAAACACGAATAACAAATTAAATAAAATGTTTCAAAGTTGATAGTGTCATATTAACGCTATAAAAATGTACATTTTTTCTCAATTATTGTACATATTTATTGGTTTTATCTCATATAGATAAAATAAAACATGCGATTTGTGTTGTTGGTTTTTTTAATTGTATGTTTATGTATAATAATAAGCAATAATTTTGAGAGTTGATCTGTGTTTATTAATTATTGTAACCAAACTAAGTGACAAACATTCATTTTGAAAAAAGCTTATTTATCTGTAAAATATTTGTTCTGTTCTGTAACGATATCAAACATCTACTCCAAAACCGGGAGAGACCGGACAATAAACATGTGGTACTATTCGTCGGTCGTCAAAATAGACCAGGAGAGAGCGGGAATTACCGACAGGAGTACATCCCTCTATAAAAAGATTTTCGGAATATTTAGGTCATCAACTCATCATTCTATTTACAGCTTTCGGAATAACATACCATAATAATCCACTGTGTACTACAAAGTATAAATAAAAATACCTTGAAGAGCGCGATTTATTGACGGAAAAGGTTATTTAATTTGAAAATGTTTGCATTGCGAAATTCTCCAGTTCGCTATTCATTGTACATTTCGCGACTAATTAATAATCAAGCACCCTCATACCGATCGGAATGATCGGCTTTTATTATGAACAACTATAAAGGCTCGAGAAGTTGATGTCGCCCTTTCACAAAATCTGATTTCATTACATAAAAGGCGCCGCGCTTCGGCGCGGACGCCAATAAGTCGAAATTTGAGTTAGTAAGTCGAAATTTCGAGATAAGTAACTTGAAATTTCGAGTTAGTATGTCGAAATTTCGAGTTAATAAGTCGAAATTTCGGGTTAGTAACTCGAAATTTCGAGTTAATAAAAAACATACACCTGGCACTAATGCTCCTCCGTAAGGACCTGGCCATGGAGCATGTATAAATTGTGTTTAATAATAGACCCTTCTTAATATTACCTCATACATATTCATAGATTTTTCAGAACGACAAGCTCCAGTATCTGCTCTATGTAAACATATCACGAATATATGGCCGAATATATGGCCGAAAGATTTAGAGATCTTAATATAGTACTGACAGTACTATATATACTTGTTGAGAGTTATATTATCTCTACTGGAGATAAATAAATCAACAACAAGGTTTATTTTACGCTATATACAGTGAATGATATACATGTATTCGAGACCTGAAAAGTGAATTCATGTTTATGATAATTACAAGTAATATCTAATATTCTGTGTCAAGTATAAATATCAGGTTAACTCTTTGCAACTTATACAGACATTATCTATGTTATCAGTATTTAATTGCTGTTGGTCAAGAATGTATAAAGCAATTAATTGATAACAGATGTAAACAGTTGGATGCTGAATTCTGTACCATACTTCCCCTAAATTTAGCCATTGAAATAAAATAAAAAACAATAAGTTTTTTCACTTTGTATCTAAAAATCAAAAATTCTAGATGACCGTCTAGTAACTGGTTAACTTTACAGGCAGCCTTACCAAATCAAAAAAACAATTTTGTTTAGACATGACACCACACCCCCGTCGTATACATTTCAATGGATTTTCAGTATCTTAACACATGATGTTGTTTACAGCAATGGAAAAATACATTTCATGCTAAGTAACGGATGTAAAACTTATATATTATCAACTGTTTTAATTAATTACAGTATTAAATACTTAGTATATAACAAATTACAATCATTTAATTGCAAATATCAGTCAAATCTTAAGACGAAGCTGAAGTATCATTAGCTTATTGCACTTGTCCAGTTGGTCCGACTTGATAATGTGGTCATATTGTTGGAAGCCTGTACTAGCTGATATATAACAAATCATTGGGGTACACGGCACTTCCAGAAGATGTTGCCTGGACTAACCAACCCCAGACATTTCATTTACTTAGGGGACTGAACATTTGCAGAAAACATGTGCAGGACCTTGCAGTCGGAGGGTATTAGGAAAGACAGCATCTAGCTTCAGCACTTCTTTTAACATTCCAAGAAATATTCACTCAACAGTATATAATGCAATAAGAGGACAAAATATTAAATGTTATTACCATGTTGACATATTCCCTGCAGCTGTACCATATATGTAACAAAGCACAATGTTAAAAACAAAGTAATGTTAAAAACAAAGTAATGCGATGATTTCTTTTTTAATTATTTTATTTGAATTAAGACACAAAAGATTAAACAAATGGTCCTTTAAAATATGCTAAAAATACATTTTGTCAGCTTGCAACATCTATCTATTTCTATCAGTCAAGCTGTTTGTTTTGCTTGCTTCATAATAAAAGCTCTTAATGTTTTTTGCTGATGTTTTAAACATTGAAAACTGTAATGAATATACATATGTTGAAAATCCTGTATAAACAAGATATGCAACTGTTATCATTTAAAAGTTTGTTTGTAACAAAAGTTCAATATCACTGTTTATTTTCTTCCTCAGTTTTCTGTAATTCTTCTTTGAACTGTTTGATAGTTTTTTTCATCTGTTCTGCAACTGCCATGAAGAGGTATTACAATTAAAGGCGATTCAAATACCAGTTGTCAATTTGTGTTCATTACTGTTACCAATGGAAATTCTGAAAAATATATACATTTTATTATGAAGTGGTAACAAGAATTATGACATTTCTAGAATATATCAATTTATATTTTAATTGCACTTATAATGTTTTTTTTTTACTGTAGCTGAACTTTATTTATGTGTAAAAATGAAAATTAAGTCTTGTGATGTACCTTTCATCTGGCAAAATCTTCTTTAGTGTTCATCTTACTGGTCTGTTCATTACTACTCAAGTTGAACCAAGAGGGCACATCTATTCTCTTCTGACATATATGAATTTGTGTCCATGATCGTTAATCTTATTGTGTGAAATGCTTCAAAAAGTGCAATATTGTTGTTACGTACATATGCATGTACAGAGTTATTGCGCCAATATTAGCGTCACGTTTAGCGTGACGCGCCATTTTATATGTTATTGTATTGACGTCATTATAGGAGTTGACTTCCGGTAATCGATAATAAACAACGTTATTGAAGAACCAGTGCAATCTTTTGATTATTTAGTGTTTACACAACATTTTGGTCCCGCGAACCGGATAACACTATGACAACAAAATTACGTTCTATACAGAAGGGTCACAAAGGCGCAGTTACACGACTCCTGAACAAATTCGAGATAATTCAGCGGGAGGCAGCCGATTACGAGGAACTTGTGACGATCATTGATTCCCTCAAACAGAAACAGCAGACGATCACGGAGATTCACGAAAAGATCCTTGATTCTTTTCAAGACGAAGAAGAAGAACAAATAGAAACAGAAATTCTTGAGCATGATGAGTATATATACATGTTAAAGACCAAGATACAGAAGATACATGATTTTAGGAAGGTATCAATTTCAAATTTGAACTACAATTCCCCGGCTCTTAACCCTAATGCTCAGCCATTTCAAGCGTCCGTTTCAAGCGAAACATCCGAGATTTGTGCGCCAGGTATCAGCGAGAATAGTTCCCAGATGCATTTCTTACCGTCCTTATCTCAAAGCTCAGTATATCACAAATTACCAAAGTTAGATTTGCCGAAGTTCGACGGAAATGTCCTTGACTGGTGTTCATTCTGGGATTCTTACGAGTCTGCTATACACACGAATCTTTCACTTAGCGGAGTACAGAAATTCAATTACTTGAAGTCGTGTCTTAAAAATGAAGCTTTGCAAACAATAGCTGGATTTGCCTTAACTAATGTTAATTATGAACAGGCTATTTCATTGTTACATGAGAGATATGGTCAAAAGGACAGAATTATACAAACTTACATGAAAGCATTACTAGAAGTTCCAGCACCCAGGTATACTATACAGAGCGTTAGAAAATTCTATGATACAACAGAGACATATATCAGAGCATTAGCTTCACTGAATCAGAATGAGACCACATACGGTTCACTACTTACACCGGTTATCCTTCAAAAACTACCGCCAGAGGTCAGAACAAACATTACACGTGCGCACGGGATACAGTCGTGGACTTTGCGTGAATTGATGAAATGTATACTGAATGATGAAATCAATATTTTAGACGCTGGAAATTTGCTGAATACGCCTCAAGACTTAATTCCGACAGCAACTTTTCTAACAAAATCTGATTCTAGTACATTCTAGAACAGAAAGAAAAAATACACCCATACCAAGCAACTTACGATCACAAAGACAAAGATGCGTGTTTTGTAAGGGAGAGCACTCTTGTATAGACTGTGTAAAATGTAAAGATCGTGAACAGAGAATGAAGATAGTGAAGGAAAGAAGGCTATGTTTTAATTGTCTGGGAAACCACAAGATTACAGACTGTAAGTCTAAATTCAAGTGTAAAATATGCTCACGCAGACATCATACTAGTATTTGTGGAGTAGAAATAGCAGCCAAATCTACAGATAAGTATCCTGTTATCAACAATGAGAAAAAGAACTCCACTTCGGTATTACATTCTGCTCACTCTACCACAACAGGTCCTGTATTATTAAAGACAGCAGTTTCCATGGTAACCTCAAAAAGTACCTCCATTTCCGCCAATATCCTATTTGATGAAGGTTCCCAGAGTTCATTTATAAGTGAACACCTAGCCCAAAAATTACAATTGGAGCCCACCGGAAGTGAAACATTATACATGTCGGGTTTCGGAGACACAGAGCGTCGCGTGCGACATTTAAGCAGAGCAACCGTGTATATAGAAACAGCAAAAGAAAATATTCCTATAAATGTTTTGATAGTGCCTGAAATTTCCATGCCACTGAAATCTTATCACAAACATGCTGGTCACCTTCCTTACCTGAAAGGGCTCAAACTCGCACATCCAGTCTCAGGAGATGAAGATTTTGATATCGAGATTCTTATTGGTGCTGATCATTACTGGGACGTTATACAAGATCAAGTTATTAGAGGAGACGGGCCTACAGCTATACTATCTAAAATCGGATACCTTCTATCAGGACCATTGAAAACAGGTACTCTAATAAATTCTACGTCGATTCCCGTATCCATGATGAACGTTATTACTATGAAAACACAAGATGTTGTAAATTTAGAGAAATTTTGGGAGGTGGAGTCCATTGGAGTTGAACTGAAACCAAACCAACAGTTAAACTTTGAGAAAACAAGAGAGTATCAGGACAATAGTATTACGTACAGTAATGGACAATACATTGCCAAATTACCATGGAAAGATGACCATCCTTTTCTATCAAGTAACGAGAACATAAGCCGACGAAGAACTATAAATTTTGTAAATAGATTGAAAAAAGACCCAGAACTTCTAAAGAAATATGGAGATATTATTTACGAGCAGGAACAGAGAGGATTTATAGAGAAGGTTATAGAGCCATTGTCTCATAGTATAGACGACACATTAGTCCCGACCCCATTATTACCACGACCAAAAGTACACTACATTCCCCATCATCCTGTGAGAAAAAGACTCGGCAACCACACCCATTCGTATCGTTTATGAGTTTGCAGTTGCCAGATCATTCTAAGAATTTTTCCAAGTTTAAAAATGATTTCTGATGGAATATACCACCACAACTTAACGGAACTTTGAACTTCAATATTACTGCGTTTCCGGTTTACAACAAATTTTTGCTGTCTGCACTGGCGATTATTGAGAAAGCATTCTTAAACGTCAGCCTTTACATCAAGACGGACCGTGACCGTCACCCGTTTTTTTGGCTATCAGATCCAAATGATCCAGATAGTTCTCTTCAGATTATACCGTTTTCAAGTCAGTGCTTTTTTGGAGGCAACGTGCTCACCATCATTCTTGAACGCCAGTTATTATTGAAACATTTAGATTTTACATCAATGTAAAGCATTACAGACCGAGTCAAGGAAGCGTTAAATATGTAAGACAATATTCTTGCAAGCATACCAGATGAGAATTCACTGTTGGATTTCTACAAAGACAGCAGACACCTGTTCCAGCAAGCACGCTTTAATTTGAGATCCTGGAGCTCAAACAACCCAAAATTACGTAGAATTATCCAGTCCGATGAAGTCGGCGACAAGGATACAGTCACAAAGACCCTGGGAATGCGTTGGGATCCTTCAGCCGATGAAATGTCGTATTCGCCAAAGATTTCAAACCCAAGTAATGACTTGTTATTAACTAAAAGGGAGATTTTGAAAGAGTCGTCATCAATCTTTGATCCGTTGGGATTGCTCTGTCCAATTACTGTTAGAGGAAAAATGTTGATACAGTTGCTATGGAAACAAAACTTCGACTGGGATGAGGTTTTACCCGAAGAAATAATTACGGAATGGATAAAGATAAGAGAAGATTTAGTCAAGGCCACCGGAATAAAATTCAGCCGGCAATATTTCCCAAAATCCACACACAAAGATGAAAGCCTGCATATTTTCGCCGATTCAAGCATTAAAGCGTATGGAGCATGCGCATATCTCGTTTCCGGTAACGAAAGCATACTCATCATGGCGAAGAGTAAAGTAGCCCCAATTAAGCAGCTTACAGTTCCAAAGCTAGAACTTTGTGCAGCACTTCTTGCAGCAAGACTTTGTCAACATATAAAGTCAGCTATTGATTGTAAAAGTATATATCTATGGAGCGATAGTCAAATCGTGTTGAGTTGGATTTCTTCAGCCAAGAAACAACCGATATTTGTTTCAAATCGTGTAAAGGAAATACAAGAGATGTCTAATGGTTTTCAATGGCAGTATTGCCCGACTCATGAGAATCCTGCAGACCTTTTATCGAGAGGACTTACCTACGAAAAAATTCAAAATAATCCATTGTGGATGCATGGCCCTAAATGGCTGGCGGATGAGAGAGCATTTCCAAGGAACGATTACCAGTTTGTTGAATATGACAATCCTATATGTGAAACAACTGTTTTGACGGCCTCAAGAGACTCATTACAAACACCAAATATTATAGAGATTCTAGACTTCCAGAGATATAATTCATATATGAAACTATTACGTGTTACGGCCTACGTCAACCGATTTGTTAACAATTGCAGACGTTCAGAGAAAATACGTGACCTTTAGAGACACACGAGATGGATGTAGCAGCCAGACAAACTAATAATACATGTGCAACGACAAAATTTCCCAGAAGTGATAAAGTACCTGTTAGAAAAACAAATCTAGCAGATCAAGAAGACCAACTATAGTAACACAGCTAGATCTTTTTATGGATGACGATAAGCTAATTCGTTGCGGCGGTAGATTACATAATGCACCGTTACAAGAAAGCACGAGATTCCCGTACCTTCTTCCGTCTAAACATCAATTTACAGACCTTATCATAAAGGACGCACATATTGTTCAGCTTCATTCCGGTACAGCAAATACTGTCACATTTCTTCGTCAAAAGTACTGGATTCCAAGTATTCGTCAACGTGTCCGGAAAATTGTTCGCTCGTGCGTCACGTGCCGCAAGGTAACAGGTAAAGCATATAGTATTCCCGACGCCCACACCCTTTACCGAGCAACAGATTGAAACAAGCACCACCATTCACTGTGACAGGGATAGATTTCACTGGAGCATTGACAGTAAAAACACCTCATGGAGATCTACAAAAAGGCATATATTTTGTCTTTTCACGTGGCGCAAATACACGAGCTATCCATTTAGAGATTGTGCCAGATATGACTGTGGAATCATTCATTTTGGCTCTACGGCGTTTCTTCAGTTAGAAAATCAATTCCAAAAATTATAATGTCGGATAACGCCCTTACATATATAGCCACTGCCAAAATCCTGAAGGACGAGATTTTTGGCAACACACAATATTTCATGGACTTTTATCCCGCAACATGCCCTTGGTATGGTGGTTGGTGGGAGAGACTTATAGGTATTACCAAGACATGTATCAGAAAAGTGCTTTGGAAATCATTAATAAGCATGGAAGTTCTTTCGTACACTTGTAACAGAAATAGAATGCATTATCAATTGACCGCCCTCTTACATATACATATACAGATACCAAAGATGAAGAACCATTAACACCATCGCATCTACTATACGGACGAAGGATTACCTCCCCTATTTATCCAGACGACAGAGATCCCACAACAAAGGAATTAACCCAAGAATCGGCCGGTAAATTGTTCAGTATTTAAGACTGCAACGCTTGATCATTTTTTGGTCAAGATCGGAAACACGAATACCTCACATCGTTGCGAGAGTTTCACAGAAATCTGGTAACCATGGTGACAATATCAATGTTTGGTGACGTGGTTCAAATACATGGACGAGTATTTACCAAGGAATCGCTGGTCATTAGGAATTATAGAAGATGTAGTAACTGGAGGTGATGGACATATTCGAGCAGCCCGTGTTAAATCCAGACGAGGAATTACTACACGACCTATTGCCAAGCTGTACCCACTAGAACTTAAATAACATTGTACACGTGATTCACGTGCATTTGCTGGCACCAATTTTTCGCGCATGCCTTTGAAACATAAATTGACATTTGTTATATATAATCAGTGAAGCTTTACCGGTTAATTACAATAAGAGTATAATAACAATGATTTGAAACTAATTGTAATAGTGGTTTACTATCAGAGACAGTTTATGAATTTATTTGATTGATCGAACTTGTAATTTAATTCACTAGATATATCTGATTTTAAAGTTTCTAAGTTACAATACTTCATTTCATTGAATTTCAGTTTGTACAATAATTATTTTATTTAATATGATCTTGAACAAGCATTGTGGCCCCCGGAGTGTTACGTACATATGCATGTACAGAGTTATTGCGCCAATATTAGCGTCACGTTTAGCGTGACGCGCCATTTTATATGTTATTGTATTGACGTCATTATAGGAGTTGACTTCCGGTAATCGATAATAAACAACGTTATTGAAGAACCAGTGCAATCTTTTGATTATTTAGTGTTTACACAACAATTGTCTTGTCATATTTTGATCTGAAATGGTATACAAAATAACTGTTATTGCTTTTTAGTATAAAAACGGTATTGATTTAGATTAATTATAAGTGTGATATTTAAATGAAATTTATGAACAAAACATTTTATTATGTTAATAATTAAATGAAACATTTAAAACAATGAGAAATCAGATTAATTAATGTAAGTAGTAATACATCTAAAGTAGCTTAGTTTAAAAAAGAAAAGAACAATGAAATTTTACCTCGAAATATACCAAATATAATATAATCATACATTTTACTAGCAAATATAACATTATTATACATTTTACTACTAAATATAATATATATGTACATTTTACTACTAAATATAACATAATTATACATTTTACTACCGAATACTATTATAATATAATTACATGTATACATTTTACTATCAAATGTAATATAATCATAATTTTACTACTAAATATAATACAATCATACATTTTACTACCAACTATAATATAATCATACATTTTACTACCAAATATAATATACACTGTAATTATACATTTTACTTCCAAATATAATATAATTATACATTTTACTTCTAAATATAATATAATTAAATGTAAACATTTTCTACCAAATATAATATAACTATACAATTTACTACCAAAATATAGTCATTTTGAATCTAAATGAAAAAAAATGGCGCGCAACTTACACTTGGAATTTTTTTTATAGGATATGCAACTGCGCTGCTATCATTTCAATACATAACAGTATACACATCTACATAGCATTGAAACATTGCCACTTTATACAGAGTAATAAGAAACATGTATATATAATAAAAACAATTTAAAAGAATAAGTTATGCATGATTTATTACCCCCACTGACCTTCAATTCACAAAAAGTCTAATAACACTACTTCAGAGAACTCCAAGAAATCTAAGAATAATAAAATAGAGAAATACAGAATCCCTAAAGAAAGTCCAAAACGTAAGAATAATAAAACCACTTAAAGATCGAAGCTTATACACGTATAGAGGTCTATGTTATAATTGTTTGTACATATATCATTTCAGTTTATCAGATAGTTTCGAATTATGCAACGATTATTGATTGATTTATAAGCCTGTCCAGACAGTATATAATGACATCTGTGACATAACATTGTGTTCTCGGGTTGGATTTACAAAACAAATTGTATATGTGCATGCCTCGCGGGCGGATGAAATATGTTCAATACAATTAGATTGAATGATTCATCTTCTATCGGATTATGCAAGATAAAAGTTGTCCGATCTATCGATTCAGACAATAAATAATACATTTTAAGTAAAAACTAAAACAAAAATGCGAAAAAATGAAACACTATTGAAACCGGACATATTATTCATAAAGATACATTATTCAAATCAAGTGTTTTTTCCTGTATTTTGAAATACGTATTTTCCGAAACTAAGAGGCGTTCCGAAGCTGTTTCTTATCGACTTTAGAAGAAAATGAAAGGAAAATAAACAATAATACGCCCTAGAATTTGAGAGGATTTTTATTTACTTAATAAGAAAATGTTTAAATGCATGGTAATCAAATATACATGATCAAAATGACTTTTTCGAAGTGAATTGAATTGATAACAATAGTGTCCGTTTAATTATTGATGCTTATCAAAACACCCTTCACGGGCCCTCTTCAAAATGATTATTACTCACAGTAAGGCAAACGGCATAGCGTAGACGATAGTGATAGTGTAAATACCGTGAAAATGCTTAAGTTGTTGTTGATTATCGGTGTTGTTTTGTTTGTATTATCAGGTAATTATTTTTTTTATATAATTATACATGTGATTCGTTTTAAATATAAAAAAAATAATTGTATATTTTATAAATAATACGTTATTACACAGGTTAAGTTTTTTTTTTCTATTTTCTTCTCCGACGGTATCAGAAAACAAGATACGTATACAGTATGTAAACACGATTGTGTACATGTATGTATTACTTTAAGGACAATGTCCTGGCTTAAAAACAACTCTTGTTTTGTATGTCATTGTTGTTACTTGTACTTAATTACAGTTTACATTCTTAAGGGCATTTTTTGAAGGTTAAATATGTTTGGTTAAAGTAACACGCCCCCCAGTTTTGTGCTAATCATTTCTGTTCTATATATAGTTATGATGTTGTTTTTGATAACGAAATCCAAAATGCCAAATAGTTTGTGTTTAAAGTGATTTGGTCTGTAAAACAATGAATAAATATAAATACATTGATAATTTGATAGTATTTAGTATTAAATATGACAACAAACCACGAACGAATTAAACATGGAAGTTGTTGGCAAGCGGAAAATACATGATACAATATCAAATATATTCATAGAACAGATAAAAAATTGTTCTAGAACAAAATAATATTTTTTATCAGATAATTAATGATCATTCTAAAACACTTAGATCTAGTACTTTATCAACACTTTTTATGCAGCATCTAATAAGAATATCCAAATGATACATTTCTATTGTTTTTGTCATTATTTGAAATACTTATGGAAAATGTGCGGTTGACCTAGCCGCCCACAGTGCACAAAAAGGCAGTTTTCGCATTATATACACCTTTAACTTCTAGAAACTTTTAAACGAGCTAACTCTTACAAAAAAAAATCAGATACAAAATGAAATCAGGTTTTTTTGTTTACCAGTAGTAAAAACATATCTGCTAGATCACTGTAGATATTTATAAACTTGCAGCAAATGCAGGAATACCCCAGACTGTGTTCTTGTTGGGGTAAAGTTATGACGTGTAATAATATTTTTCATCAATTATACAATTTTGTATACGGATTTTGAAAATATCTCTTAAACGCATATTTAAACCTAATATTCGATTTTTTAAAACGTTTCGCTAAAGTTCTTTATTTTTCAATGAACTATTTATAAGAAGATAATCTAATACGAAAATATCAGACATTTTAATGGCATTGGCTGAATCTTAGGGCACGCTTCTCTAAGATTTAGTTGATGTAAATTAGATACGAGATAAACACACACGACTTACCTTTGAAGCAATCGTTCATCCTTCAGTGTTTATCATAATTAATTTATACGTTCAAAAGAATGACGGTTGTTCTTGTAAATGTGTAGGCGTATTGTTTGGCGTTTAAATTGTATATATTGTTTAATTGTGTTTTATTATTGTTAGTTTTGCAGATGTATGGCTACCTCCTCCTCTTTATATTGTCTCGGGTTACTACATGTATACATTAAGGTTCTCATTGGCCGTCGTACAGTGACCTACTTTTGATTAAAAATACATATCTGTGGCTAATACTCCGTGGCAATCTTTCAAAATTAACCCTGACATGACTGGGGTCCGTAGTCGCGTCTTCTCGGCTCTTTCCGTCAAACTTCGGCCGAGATGTTCAGAATGCTGCTTTTTGTACATAGTTTTCCCAGATAATTATGGCATGTGTGTTATCGAGTTCAATAATGTTGATATTCCATCGCGTTCGCCTGTAGCATTGTCAAATACAATCTATATCCGGATCAATAGCGCATATGCCCACCTCATACAAAATTCAACTGCAAAGATTGTTTATGTTGACAGGTCAGGGCTCAGAAGCCGCGGACTGCTGTGGAAGTTACACGGACATTTCCGGAAAAGAACATAAAGCAGAACTATGTCCGGATTACTGTTGCATAAGACTAGGCATTGAATATAAAGAATGCTGCGACGATTCCAGCAGGCAGATACCTGCGACTAAGAACCAAAATGAAGATTGCGTTAAAGACTGGCTAAGTCAGCATATGTAAGTATTTAGTATGGTACTTGAAGTTTTCCTATCCGTCAGTGACTCGAAGGGATTAAAAGGACAGCAGTGGCCTAGTGGTTAAGGTGTTTGCCTTGAAACCCAGGGGTCATGAGTTCGAAGCATACTCGGGTCACGACCATGTTACTTAATATGACAGTACTGGTTGGTTCCATGAAACAGACTCGAAAGTGATTAATATAAATTGCATGAACTTGCTTCACAATCGAGCTTAAATAAATAGGTTTAAACTAAACTAATATGCTCTGTCTATTGCTATATTTTCTTAACTTTCAATTTCTGTAATCATGAAACTATAGGTTTTGTAAAATAGATTGAAGAAACCTTTCACTCGTCAAACCTTTCACTTGACATTATTTGCAGTCAGGAACTTGTTTGCTCCAAACAGGAAACGAAAAATAGTTTGACTTAAATGTATAAATAGTACGCTCCCTTCACAGCTTACTGAATGCACTCACGCTGAAGTGAGTCACGCCTCAATAGACGGGAGGATTTAGTTCTACGTACAGCACTAATTAGAGATAAGATGTACAATCTTTAAAGCTATACAACACTTGCATTCAGACGGTAATTCTACACTGTAAGAATCATCTGAGGTTTCCCCTAAAAAGGATCCCTTTACATTGATCCTTTACATACTTTACTCACTACTTTTTTTTCGCCATGAGTAATGATTCAAACACCTCCATTTAAAAAAATATATATAATATATTTTTTTTTATGTGAAGCCTGACCAAGACTCAAACCACGGACCCTCGGAATACCGTATTGCGGCTCTACTGGCTAAGCTATCTGGCCGCATACAAACTACCTCCCTTCCCCTAATTAGAGAACAATTTAATACCGTGACATAATCATTTTCGGAATAATTTGGGATTCGAACATAACACAACTTTGGGTCTCCTGAAGAGTTTTTCAACATCATTTTTACCCCATCTTACTACTATGTTTACCTTTTAGCCCTAATTGTTCTGGAATTTCATTCATTACACCCATTATCAGGAGATGATTTGATTATCTGTTACTTGTCATTGTGGTATGTCTGTAAAAATTTGTACGACAAGATTTTTAAAATAGAACATGTCCTATCCCTTACATCTTGACTTAAGGTTTCCGAAATCAAGAAATAGTAGCATTCATACATTAAGATTTGTCTGTACATCTCAGTTTTAATTGGTGTTGTACTTCAAAATCCTACCGTCTGTTGAGGCCTTAAGTGAAACATTCGACCGATGCGCAGGAGTGTATATAAATAGAAGAACATGAAACTATGGTGGCTGATTTGGCGTGCTTCGCTAGCGACAAGACGACAGTGCGACAACGCGCCGTTTGCCGCTAGCGACAAGACGACAATACGAAAAGGCAATAACGATATAGGTAGTGTTGTCGCTATCGACTACGCAGCGCGCAAAGTGTACATCATCCATCATATGAAACGCTTCTTTTATAGGGTTAACGCACGTTTTTCCGTGTTATAACGTCTGCAGAGTCCCGAGGAACGGTTGGTGCCCGAGCCCGGTAGGGCGAGGGCTCCAACAGTTCCGAGGGACTCTGCAGACTTTATAACACGAAATAAACGTGCGTTGACGCTATTATAGCATAAAATTTTCAAACAGATTCGTGATGCATAGTTTATACAAAACACAATAACATTAAATTCTTGTGCCTGGACGGTATTTATCCAATTCTATGTTTTACGTATGCGTTTCATTTTTCCGGGGCCAACAACTTGGAAAATTTTCGGAACCGATCGAAATTTTGAATTTTAATTGATTTAACAAAGCTTGGCCTTTGAAGATTTATTATCTCAAGAAAAAAACCGTTACATTACTGTACCCTCTACCCAAGACAAAACATGACCCTCAGAAATTCTTAGAGTGATTTCAGATTGACGATAGAAAAAAGATCAGTGACATCAGAATCGTTTTTTTTTTCTCAAGCAAACAAGTTTATAAAAAAATCAGGCACTAAGCATTATTCTCTCAAAGAAATATAAAGAGCATTTATCAACATTAACATAAATAAAAAACATTTTCTCATATTAATTTTGTGTTCTCTAGTTTTGTAAGTTAATCGGAGTGTTAAACTGAATGACAGGTAGATTCTACTGTATTTGTTTACATTGACAACTGTCCGTTTCTTAGAAAGGGCGACAACCAAGATTAGCACCGCTGTCTATACGCCGTTTTTCCGGCATAGTTACTGGAATATGCGACTGAGGCCCTCGAATCAATAAATTTCAATATAACAAGAACGCATGACTCTTCGGCAAACAGGCCAAATCGTCATTTTTTGTTTGTTTGTTTACTGGGCCCTGTATGTATTGCGCATAGGTGAAACCGGGCTATAACAAGAGCGCGTGACTATGTTAACACATGGTTTTGGTCCCGTTATAACATGGGCAAAAGAGGGAAAAATAGCCGATTTTATGCTATAATATGATAAAACAAACCGTTTTCTATGGTACATTGCGCGTTGCGTTGTCGATAGCGTTGTCGCGATGTCGCTCTGTCGCTTGGCTTATAAGCCAATCCTTAGATTTGAACCGAGCGGCATTGTGACATTTGGCGTTTGGCGTAAATCGCTAGCGAGAGGATGACAAGACGAAAGTCCGACAACGCGCCGTTTGGCGCTTTGTCCTGTTGTCGCTAGCGCCAACACAAAAGCGTTCCAAATCAGCCACCATAGCCAAACCTTTTTCTGGTGAAAATTATTTGTGGAGTAAAATACAATTTTGACCGTGATAAAAATGAACTACTTACATGTAAATAATTATTATAGAAGATACCAGAGCGCAAGAACTGTACGAAAAGAAAGCAAAAATAAAACGAAAAGAAAGGTCTGATTCTCTGAAAGGAAATATTTGTCATAGCATGACCTAACTTGTTATTCTTGTTATTATATAGAACAAAAACTTTCAAATCTCGTATCGGCACTAGTTACGTGTCCCCCCCCCCCCTGTTAAAATCTTGAAGGACTTGGAAACATTTTCCAATTAATTACTTCTTCTCACATTTTTCAAATAAAATACTATATATCCAATGAAATTAAATTGATTAGAATGATTTAAAAAAATTGGTTTTGTCCTCATTAAATTGATTCTTTCATGGTAACATCTTTTTTGCTTTTGATCTATATACAGAAATTATATGGAATATGGAATTAGGGTAGAGTAAATAGTTTATAGTCTTACAAAATTGATTTGTTATGTGAAAAATATGAAACAATAAAATTAATGTGCATTTTTGTCTTTTATTATAGATGGGTACCGATTGTTTGTGGCATTGTGGGATTGCTGATTATCATCGGTATTGTCGTCTGCTGCTGTTGCTGCTGTGCTTGTTGCAAACGATAAGTGCAGAGGATACGTGTCAAAAAATAAAATAAGCCACGTCACGACAAAACCAACATAATGCGTTTGCGACCAGCATGGATCCAGACCAATCCGCGCAGTCTGATCAGGATCCATGCTGTTCGCTTACCAACTCTATTACAAGTAGAGAAACTGATAGCGAACAGTATGGATCCTGATCAGACTGCGCGGATGCGCAGGCTGGTCTGGATCCATGCTGGTCGCAAACCCAATATGTGTGTTTTGTCATGACACAGCTCAAATACTGTTTATAAAGATCTGCAACAGAACTGCTGACAATAGATTTTCTCATATGCCTTACATGTAAACATTCCTAAATTTGCCGAAGAAGTGAATGATTTTTGGTGCACTTTAATGACGCTGAGCCATTTTTATATATTTATATTATATAGATTATCTGAACAAATGACATGACAGAGACTAAACTCAATGGATATTGTATGCATTGTGTTTATATTATATTGTGGTGGGAAATTGTTTTATTATTTTATGGTTGAATATCGTGTAGTCATATATATAAGTAGTTTTATTAAATTGTAATAATAGACTATTAGATTGTATATAATTATCATTTAGTTTCGTTGAAAGGTTACTTGGATGTAAAAGATACGTTTTCGGGTTGTTTAAAGTAGCATGCCTCCAGATTCAAGCTTATTAAAAAAAAAAAAAAAAAAGGAAAATGTATTAAAAAGTAAAATTATATACAGTATAGGTTTAGGTAAATATTTGTTTTATGCTACAAAGCATCAAATTGAACTACTTAATGCTCTGTAAATCAATGTATAAATTTGTCTCGTTATATTTGAGTTCTTAAGTTACTTGATAATGTGTCAATTATGGATCACTGCTAAATGCAATCTTATCACAGCATATAATTAATTTTAAAATCCACTTTTTTATCTTTAAGAATGTAAACGCTTTTTCATAGCTAAGCTTACTTTAGTACTAAATGCTGTTAACGTTAATGTTAACGTTCATTCTCCAAAAATATGTAAATTGAATATTTTGTGCCACAACTTTTGTTCATGTACCGTGATATCGTGTTTAATTGTAAGTTATACAAATGTGTGTGAAATGACTATATGTACTGAATGTATACGTCAATAAATTATCTTTCTTTATAAGTGAACAAAGAAAGTTAATAACACATTTCAAACGTCAGCTTCAGTCCACGTAAATTATCAAGTAAATGTCAAAATATACAAAAAAAGCCCTTACTCCGTGACTCACGCAGTAGAAATGGGGTGATAAATAAGTGCTAAATCAGTCATTCATTGCATGTAACATGTAAATTATTGAGTGAATTATAAATATTTCTACTTCTCTTATAATCTTAGTACATTTTATTTAAGGTTGATTTTCTTTAATTTTTTGAGCTCATATGGAGGCATGTATCTTTACGTTTAAGCTAAGTAGGACCATTGGTCTAGATATTTTTTACAGTGATAAGGAACGCTTCATTCTTGTGAAATTTCACGTCTGTAACGTCGATTTGAATAATCGTGACGTTTATATTTTCAATTAACACGGCTATGCATAGCAAAATTGTAAATTATTTTCTCTTTTTATAACCAAAATAAAGAGGTATTTGTACATTATCATCAATTCGTTTTAAAAACTTTTGACAGTTTATATGGCCATATATGAATGGGTTTATGTTATATAAATCACGTCCTGTGCCATTGGTTATATATGCTATACAGGAAGCGGAACAGAGGGTGGCTCATATTGACCTTAAGCTTTCATCCCAGGTGGCATGAAATAGATATTTTTTAATTAAACTAATAACTTACAATTGGCAATATTACCTATCAGAACTAAATCGCTGTTACTATAATAATAGACAATTTGGGGAAAAAACGTATACATGTATAAAGTCTATGGTATATATCATGTGTTAGAACAAGAATAACTTAACCTTCGAAATTTATGCAAAGGATTTTTCCTGCTTTAATTTAAAACAAACTTTTACTAAAGTTAAGGGTTTTCAATATCGGCATAGTAAAAAAATTAAATAGTTAATGCATTGTACAGTAGACTGGTTTAACTGGGCGGATGTGCAGACTGGCATTGTTCTTGACTGGTGGAAGAGGCCAAAATAATTACTTCCGGTTCCAGCAGGTTAAGTGTAAAACAACGTTCAAAGTTGTTTTTTTATGGTTGGTTATGAATCAAGACATATCATAGAGACATAAGCTGGACAAATGTACATTTGAGCCGCGTCACGACAAAACCAACATAATGGTTTTGCGACCAGCATGGATCCAGACCAGCCTGCGCATCCGCGCAGTCTGATCAGGATCCATGCTGTTCGCTGTCAGTGTCTCTACTTGTTAAAGGGTTGATAAGCGAACAGCATGGATCCTGATCAGACTGCGCGGATGCGCAGGCTGATCTGGATCCATGCTGGTCGCAAACGCATTACGTTGGTTTTGTCGTTAACGCGGCTCATTTTTTTATTCTAATTTGAGGTATATTGATGAATAAAGACCTTTTTCCTTCCAAGTGTTTAGTTTGCATGCATTTTATAATACTGAATAACACAATTGGGATAACTGAATGACTTTGCCGATATGTCACTATGTTGTTGTTTTTTATTGCATAATTGTTTTATATTCAGAACTGAATGCATTTTTATATTCTGTAGAGCGAAAAATAATAAATATTAAAATGGCAATATTTGCACAAATTGTTTTGCTCATATCTCGTCGAAATTTACATTTTAAAATTGTTTGATGAAGTTGTGTTAATCTTATTCCTTGTTAAAAAAAGAGATTTGTAATGTCAAAATAGAAAAATAATAAAAGTGTGCATTACCAAAATATTATTCTCTCGTTAGAGAGAAACTTGAAAATAAAACAGTCCAGAAAAATACTTGTACAATGTGTAGAAAATCTTGTAAACGTTCTGTCAGTTTTTTCGGTCTGACCAAACTCATTACAAGACCAACTCGCTATTATATAAGACCAGATTTCCGAAGTCTCACTGAATATTCGGAATGTGAAGGGTTTTACATGACTTTGAAGATTCCAAAGCGATATAGGCGGCGGCATTGCCGAGTGGTTAACGCGTCAGACTTGTAATCTATTGATCGCTAGCCGCATGGGTTCAAACCCTGACATGGGCAAGTCGTTGTTTCCTTGAGCAAGAAACTTTACACTCATTGCTCTGTACTGGTTGGTTCCAGGAACGGATTCGAAAGTGTGTTTACAAGCTAATAGCTTCCTACACAATTGAACTAAAATAAATTCTGTATAAACCCAAAGCGATATAGATAATTGCGAAAATAAATAATTGGTTACATTTGATTTTTATGGATAATGACTAAGTTCGCTTTTTTATCATAATGTTAGTAAGTTGTAAGCCGACATTTTAAGAGAGCTGAATGGCTGATCATAAGCTGTATCATTTGGTCACTTGATTCAATTAAATACGAGTATTTGTTAATATTTTTACAATATATTTTCAAATTCCATTATGGATCAGCCCTTATTACTGGTTGCAATATAAACGGAAATTTTGTCAGGGAAGAAATTCAACAAATGTGAATCCCCCAGTGGATGATGTGTCGTTTGAAGATGTTTGAGCCGTGCCATGACAAAACCAACATGGTGGGTTTGCGACCAGCATGGATCCAAACCAACCTGCGCCTCCGCGCAGTCTGATCAGGATCCATGCTGTTCGCTATCAGTTTCTTTTCTTGTAATAGGGTTTGTAAGCGAACAGCGTGTATCCTGATCAGACTGCGCGGATGCGTAGGCTGGTCTGGATCCATGCTGGTCGCAAACCCATTATGTTGGTTTTGTCATGGCGCGGCTCAATTGACACAGTCGACAGACAAAGGATACACATACAATTAAAGTTCTGTTGATTATCCTGTTTGAGCCACCTATCACATGTACCTTTTACAATTTCAAGGAAACCAGCGATTATAAGATTTATAGTTTCTCTTTTCGCATCTCCAAAAAATGTATAAATTTTAATGTCATTTTCACAGAAAAACGTTACCATATAGAATTGTTAACCAACAGAAAAGAAACAAAGGGTCATATAGATGTAATTTCTTTACACAATTAGCTGAAAATAAGTGGAAATGAATATAATTTGAGCCAAGAGTTGATATTTTGCCATGGTGCGTGTTATGATATCAAGATCAGATAACTCTTTACATGTTTATTCGTACAGTAAAATGATATTACTTCCCTTTACTTGATGTATGCATTAATGCTATGTTATCTTTGTATGATCATGCCGGGCATTCTTTCGTAACAACATTTATAAAATGGTTATAATAAATAGTAGAATAGTTTGAATCTTGTTATCATCCATGATACAACATAACAGTGCAGGAACTGTTTACAAAAAACAAAGCAGTTTTATAGATCAAAAACGGGATTGAAATTTGGCAGGATTAATCAAAAAGATTAAAGTAGAAATTCTTGCGCCTTTTTTACTATTTCACAGCCCCAGACCCTGTTATAATCATCAGAGCCTGGCATTATCAAGTACATACAACGTGATAATAGGTGATGTCCGCCTGTTATCATGAATTCTCCCATCGCGGAATTTAATTACATAATTATTATATGTCCGTGTTACAATATTTTTAGGGTAAGTAAGTTAAATAGAGCGCACGACATTACTTCAACATGCTAAAAATGTCGCACTATATCTCATTTACGAATTTACAAAACATAATTTATAGAAATAGAAGTAACATGGAATTGTATAGATCTGTCCCCATCCAGAGTAATCCTAACGGAGCGTATTATATTAGGCCAAACTCCCATATATTTCAGGAAATTGAACATTAAGATTTACAATTTTTAATTTTTTGAAGAAAAAAATCAAAATGTTATTCGACCTCTTAGGCCTATATTGTTCTTCGATAGTACTTAACCAATTTATCTATTGTTATATTTTTTTGAGACAGATCAAAATATTTCAAAACATGGGTCCAAAGTTACCTGATATTGTCTTTATAAATTTGCGTAATGTTGATTTTTCACCCTTGGAAACTTCTTATCCATGAAATTTATATTTCTGTCATCACCGCAGCAATTACTATCTATCTATCTCTGGATACTGCCAACCCCTCTTACGAGTGTTAAAGGCAGGAATTTAGTGCACGTCGGATTGTTAGTAAAATGTGAAAAGAAAAGCTAAAAAAGAAAAGTCCAAACATTGACATGCTTGGAAGGTGAGACTGAAAATGTATTCCAGTCATGGTTAAATTGCGAAACAAGATGATAAGAGATAAAATAGTTTAAAAACACTGGGAGTAAGACTAGTACTGCAAACCCACCACTGCCTGTTTGACCTGACACAAGTTGGGCAGGGTGGCAATGTTACTAGGAAGTTTATTCCATAGTATAATGCTATGAGGGATACCTGTATTTGGCGTAGGGATAAGGGTTGCATAATATTATGTATGGTTAATCTATTTGGGGTTTGAACATATGTTGGGAGATTAATTGCAACTAGATTATGGTATATCTTATAAAACATTATCAGTCTACAGTCCAATCTGCGATGTTCAAGAAATCGCCAGCCCAGTTCTTCCTGCATGACTGTGACACTAGAGTGAGGAGAGTAGCCTAATCCCTTTTAACCCATCTTATTGCACGTCTCTGGATGTCAGTAATTGAAGCATATTCAACATGTGGCCGGACTTGTATGCTAGTTCTGTCACTCTCTCATTTTTAGTAATAACATTTGTTTTAATAAAGCCAAGGGATCTGTTTACATTGGAGGTTATTAGAGATATATGTGTATTAAATTTAAGGTCAGCAGACAGATCTAGTCCGAGATATTTAGCATTTGTAACAGACTCTTGGACTTGGCCATGGAGCATATATAAATTGTGTTTAATAAATGGTTATGGATTACTTGGCATTTTGAAGGGTTAAACTCCATGTCTGGCGTCGGTAATATACTGCCAACCCCTCTTACGAGTGTTAAAGGCAGGAGTTTAGTGCACGGCGGATTGTTAGTAAAAGGTGAAAAGAAAAGCTAAAAAAAAAAAAGAAAAGTCCAAACATTGACATGCTTGGAAGGTGAGACTGAAGATGTATTCTAGTCATGGTTAAAATGTTAATAGTGAAACAAGATGATAAGAAATAAAATAGTTTAAAAACACTGGGAGTAAGACTAATACTGCAAACCCAACACTGCCTGTTTGAACTGACTCAAGTTGGGCAGGGTGGCAATGTTACCATAGTATAATGCTATGAGGGAAGAAAGAGTACCTATGATAGTCGGAAGATACCTGTATTTGGCGTAGGGATAAGGGGTGCATATGTCTGGTTAATCTATGTGGGGTTTGAACATATGTTGGGAGATTAATTGCAACTAGATTATGGTATATCTTATCTGGGATGTACTATAAAGTATCGTATGTTCCAGATCTTATAAAACATTATCAGTCTACAGTCCAATCTGCGATGTTCAAGGTTCTTCCTCCATGGCTGTACGAAAACAGAGCTAAAGTTCGAGAACTTACTAAATAATTTTAATGTAACGTGAATTTCCCCTTTTTACACAAAGAGATCTAGATAAGAAAACTAACTTATCACGAAGGCCATTCTTTTTTTACGTAAGTTGCCTCCCTTGAATTACCTGGCGCCCTTATTATATGCACCCTTTAATTGCGATTTTCTGAAAATCTGGAGGCGCTAAAAAGGGAAACCGTAATCTAGAAATTTTATTTTATAATTAAACAGTTCTAAATGAGATAATAAGAATAGCACTGATAAGTTCAGTAAAAAAAGCCTATGTTTCTCATAATTCTTTGAGAAGTTTAGATGTTACAAACTTGAAGTTATTATATGTATTTTCCCTTGTCATACCCCAGACACGCTCTGTAACGTACAGTAATTCTCTGTTTTCCAGGAGGTTAGCTCAACATACTAAAGTCGTGTCTTACTCTTAGCAAAATGTGGACTCTTTGTACATTCGCCGTAATTTTGGTTGTGTTGGCAGGTAATCTTTTTCTATTTTTTACATGTTTGTAAATATCCTATTTTAATGTTTAAGCTAAATTAATTTAAAGTTTGCTCAAAGTTTGAGGACTATTTTGTTGACTCCTTTGTGTTTTCTGTTTTTTGCTTACGCCGTTACGGTACATCTCAACTCTATTATACTGTTAAACCTATATACCGGTAATTATCATAAATTTAAAGTATAAATCTATGCGCGGTACAGTACAGTATTTTTTTTTTTTTACACGCTTTGGTATTTGATAGTGTCCGTCTGTCCGTAGACAATTTAATTTTTGAAGGATTTCAGCGATTGTGTTGATATTTTGGAATGTAATACATTGACATGTAATTACATGTATGTTATATCTACAGGAGTCCTTGCCAATAATTATTATAAAATTCTTGATTTTATAATTGTGCAATCATGTCAAATTAACAAAAAATAATCTCCCCTTGATTTTTTTTCAACAAGGGGAGATTATTTTATGATAATTTGTCAATTATTGGCAAGACAAGTGTGCTGAACGCCTACACAAGTCAAGTTTGATTTTCACTCCTAGAGCTACCAACTTAAATATTATTGAAAGAGGTATGCCCCATTTTAACAGGTGGTATTATCGGTTTAGCCCATCATTTGGTAACTTTGAAGTATTTTAAAGATAATTGTGTTTGCAAGTATATTTTATCTGTTTATCAAAACACAGGTCAAGTTCAAATTTTTTAAAGCAATTGACCTTTTTGAAAACCTAGCTAAACACCGTTTTCCGGTACGTTATGGATTTAGCTCTGGGGAATTACACCAATTATCATTATTTTACCGTTGAAGGTGAAATTGAAAATTATCAATGTTCCTATAATATCTATTGCAAATTTTTCAAAAAATAAATTGTTTATAATGAAAATCAATAAAATTAAAACAGTCGTAGTGGCATCTTCCATGATAAATAGAGATATTTTCTGTGTAAACTTTTTTATTTACTTTATCTTTTTGTATGGAATTATTCATACAATGCTACATGTATTTAATTATTTTCATAGAAAGAAATAACCGTTTTATTTCACTTTAATGAAAAAAGGCCAAACACAGTGTTCGTTATTACACTCCATTTGGAGAATTCCCCAGAGCTATGTACAGAAAGTACCGGAAAACGGCATTTAGCAAGGTTTGCGAATTCCGTTATTCGTGAATCAAATTATTATTGAAAGAGTTATCCTCCTTTCAAACAATATTTTCTGTGATTTTAATTTCAATTTCCATCCATCCGTCCAAATTTTTTTTCGGTACTAGTTCTCTGCAACTCCTGGCTGGAATTCAACAAACTTTATGGGAACCATCAATATCAAGAGAAGATGTGCATATCGACGCCTTGTTCTATTCAGACCCATTAACTCTGAGTTATGGCCCTTGATTAGTTATACAGTATGCATATAGAGCAATAATTGTTTCCACCCTACTTCTCTGCAACTACTTACTGGAATTCAACGAAACTTTGCAGGAACCTTCAATACCAAGAGGAGATGCGCATATTGTTGCCTTGTTCTGATCAGACTTTTAAACTCAGAGTTATGGCCCTTGATTAGTTATGCTGTATGCATATAGAGCAATAATAATTTCTGCAATATTTTTCTGTAACTACTGTCTGAAATTCAACGAAACATTATGGCAACCTACAATACCAAGAGGAAATGCACATATTGTCACCTTGTTCCGGTCAGATCCTTTAACTCCTTTAAGTTATGGCCCTTGATTAGTTATTATGCAATATGCATAAAGAGCAGTAATCGTTTCAGCTCTATTTCTCTGCAACTATTGGCTGGAATTCAATAAAACTTTTTGGGAACCATCAATACCAAGAGGAGATGGGCATATTTAAGCCTTGATCATGTCAGACCCTTCAAGACAGACTTATAGCCCTTGATTATTTATGCAGTATGCATATAGAGCAATAATAGTTTCTGCGCTTCTTCTCAGCAACTACTAGCTGGAATTTAACCAAACTTTATTGGAACCTTCAATACCAAGAGGAGATGTGCATATCGTCACCTTATTCCAGTCAGACCCTTCAACATGCATATAGAGCAATAATCGTTTGCGCTCTATTTTTCTGCATGTTCTGGCTGAAATTCAATGAAACTTTATTGCAACAATCAATACCATGGGGAGATGCACAAATCATTGCCTTGTTTGAGTCAGACTCTTCAAGACAGAGTTATGGCCCTTGATTATTTGTGCAGTATGCATATAGAGGAATATTACTATTTCCTTTCAACTGTTGGATTGATTCAACAAGATTTTATGGGAACCATTAATACGAAAAGGAAATTTGCATGCCATGATTAATTTATGTAAATAAAGCCTTATGTGTTAGTAATAACCGGCTTTGCGGGGGATATAAATTCAACGAATTTGCTTTTTATCTAGTATAGAGTTATACCCCTTTTTTAGCTTGACTAATTGAAGAATAGTAGGGCTACCTTACTCACCCACGTGTCAGTATTGATGTCTGCATAACACTGTAGTCCTAATTATATTATAAGACCCATTATACATAACCTATTTCATGTTCATCCTTCATAAATCTGATATTCATCTTTCATTTACCATGTTACCCTTGATAATATAAAATGTAATATGTCACAATGATAACTATAAAATGTTAAATAACTTTTTCCCCCCCGGCTAATTATTTGGACTACATAACACTGTTAGATGATGTATGCATCTTCATATCAACCACTACATAATAATAGTTGCTTGTAACTTCGTACACTTATTTAACCCTTAAATTTTGCTGCCAGAGGGTTATTGTTTTATTGTTCACCTATTTGCCAGAGGATTTTCTAAGAAATTACTATATTATTAATTAATATAATTATTATTATTTGTTATTAGTATTATAATAATTATATATGTTTCCAAATCTGTTATTATAATAATAATTATTGTCGATGGTATAATTTTCTTTATATTTATCATTATTATTATTATTATCATTAATTTATTATTATTACTATTATTATTATAGAAACGGCTAAAGCCGTCCATATGGCAAATACACCGAAAATAACAGGGGCAGCTTAAGCCGTCCCTATGGCAGTGAAAGGGTTAAGAGCATAATACTAGGAGGTCCAAGGCCTATAACTCTAGTATGAGTTTTCTTCTTCAGAATAATGGCCCTTTTTGAACATAGAAAATTATTGGTTAAGGTTTTGCATGCAACATCAATCTTAAGAAGTTATAAAAGTACTGAAGATAATTCACTTGATTTTTAATGCATGTCTGTGGGGTCATAACCAGAGGTTACTATCCAAGGTACATAGTTCTTACATGGATTTTGACTGAATTATGGTCCTTTCTAAACTTTGAATGTTTTTGGTTAATGTTTTTTTGCAATATTAAAACAACTTATTAAAAGGTATTGACAGCAAACTTACTGATATCTGCAGGGTCATAAATTCAGGCCACTATACTCTGTGATGGATTTTGACGGAATTATGGCCCTTTATGAATTTAGAAAATTTTATAATTTAATCAAATAAATACTCAGAACAGCAACTTTAATATGCAGCAAACAGTCTACTTAATTGTAGTTGTATTTCTTTATTGTTTGTAACTTAATTTATTAAGATATTTTTTATCTGAACATAGGAAAATGTTTCAAAAAATCTTGCTTACTATATACATGATATAGTACATGTAGTTAATTCGACTTTGGGTGGGTCTGGAACATACGATAGTACATCCCAGGGTGGGTCAAATCAGTAAAATGAATTCCAAGCAAGGGCAACGCAAATAAAAATGTTGACATCAACTAGGCTAGTAACAGATAAAAATGTCCTCTAAGAATAGTAAGAACTGTCATTAATTAGATTGACATAACTTGCATTAATTACTTGCCATAATTATTCCTATCCGATATGAGTCCCTATTTAGAAAAATGCATGCTTCCAGAAAACACGCATTATTTGAAACTGCATCCACAGCAATCCACAGCAAACTCATTGGTTTCTGGAAGCAGGATGCAGAGTTAAAATTAGTCACCGAAGCACATTAAAGTGTTGCTATAGAAAATAATGTTCCTTTTAGAAACAAGAAAACCTACCTGATAATATACTAAAATGTTTTAACGAGGTCTTTGTGGTAAGATATGGTAAAAGCCATGAAAACCTACTCATGGTTTCAGTTATGTAGTATGTTGACCATTGGATAATTTTATGAAATTTCTTAATTTAAAAAATGCCTTTCTTATTTATAACAAAAAATTAGAGGAATATAAAATATATCAACAGGTCACGGATCAGAAGCAGGTGACTGCTGTGGAAGTTACACAGATGGAAATGGTGATCACCATAAGGCCGAGCTATGTGCAGATTATTGCTGTTTAACATTTGCAAAACAATACAAGCAGTGTTGCAGTGATCCTATGAGGCAGATTCCTGCTACAAAAAATCAGAATGATGATTGTGTCCGCGACTGGGTTCAAGAACACATGTAAGTTGTTTTTGTGTTTTTCTATATTTAGATTAACAAGTTGGCACAATATTAAGTTCCCTGTCTTAGCTCTATATTTTAGTATACTTACAAATAGGTAAAGCCATGCCTGGATCCAGAGGTGGGAAGTTGGGAGGTTGAGGGTCATGACCCCCATATGGGATTTTGATAGTATGTAGGCTGACCCCTTTGAGAGGTGGACATCAACTTAAGCCTTTTTTAACGAAAAATACCTAAAATTAAGTGGAAATAAGCATTAAATTGACCCTTAACCACATCATGAAATCTTGTAGAATTTTAACAGGGGCGTTATGGGGTATACAATACCATGTGTCAAGATTTTGCAACCCCCTCTGGTAAAAAATATTGGGTCGTGGTTAAATTTTTTTTAAAATACATGTATGACAAAATGCTTGAAAAGTTAAAAAAAATTTATAAAAAGAAATCATTGGTATTAAAGCATGCACAGCTAATAAAGGCAGCCTATAGTTCTATATGTTAAGATGTTGTATGTGGTAGATGCATCTGATAGAAACCTGAAGGGTCCTCCATGTTGGGTCTGTGTATTATGGTTACCTTATGATTCCAATGAAACTTGTATGTTTATGCACACAGTTATTGACCTACTATCCTTGGACTTTTCCACTTATTTTGGATAAAAATGTTGTTTTGGGAATAGTCTTTATCAGTGACCCTCAGAAGATAGGGAAATTTACCCTTGCTAGAAAAGAGTTGTGTACTCTAAGCACCAGTGCCTTTTTATCAACAAAGACAGTCATAACTGTGACCCTACTTATGACTGGCCTGCAGCAGTCATAGAGTTAGGACGTTTATCTACAATGTCTTAGCTGTGACCATGTTGATGAAACACGCTGTGAGGGTCAGATTGGTCGTACTACCAAATCTAAGCTACGACTAGGCACATGACCGTTGATAAAACGGCACTCAGAAGTCTAGCTGGCACTGTGTCAGTTAAGAGAAACAGTTTAAAGCAGCAGAGGTGTGTACACAATGTTAGCTTGTAAAGTCTCTGTGTATTTACATAATCATTCCCCAATTGATTGTTCAGAAAAACTTTCTCATTGATTGAATCAGTCTGGTATAAGACTTTCACAAAATCATTAACACTCATGCTTTCCTGGTAAGGATGTAGCCACTTTATTTGAAGAAAACTCATCCAGTGTTAAAATTTTTAATATTCTAGGGAAAAAACTACCTGCAGAGGAACTTTTTATTATTTCTATCTAGGTACATTTTGTCCAAAAATCCTGAGAGAATGCTATCTTGTAAAAGCTATCTCATGGACTGATAAATGTTTTACATATTTTCTTTTTTTAATTTTAGGTGGGTGCCGATTGTGTCTGGCATTGTGGGATTGCTCATTATAATCGGAATCTGTACCTGTTGTTGTTGTTGCTGCTGTGGATGTTGTAGGAAGAACCCAGCCCCTGTGGTAATCCATACAGCTGCACCACCTAGTAAGTATTGTGTAACGTTTATATGTTATACATGTATAAGGGTCTTAGTAGAATCTGAAAATGTAGCCAGCTCTATGTTATGTCCTGGTTTTGTTAAATGTTGAGTTATTATTCAACTCATTCATAGCAAATATATTTTGCTGATCATGTGGTCTGTTATTATTTCTGTATATTACAATCTATGTAACTACCACATGAATCATTCTTCAGTAATAAGCCTGGACTAATGACATTATATAAATAACACATGGGTTTGTGGGTAACAGTAAAAATATCATCCCGAGGAAATTACTGTTACCCGAGGCTACGCCTCGGGTAACAGTAATTTCCTCGGGATGATATTTTTACTGTTACTCACAAACCCGTGTTATTTATTTTATTAACCCGAACAAAAATATGCGATGATCTGAAATTGTCAATGATAACTAATTTAAACTTATTAAACTGTCCTTACCTTTCAAGTTTTAAGTGTACTTTAGGCCAACTTGAGAAGTTTTCTCTTTCTTTTATTCTTTATGCAAGTGATGATATCTACAATTCATAAACATGCAATTAGCTAGGTTTTATTTAGAAAACAAAACACCAGCCCATTTACACGGTTATGATCTGTGAAATCTGATCCTTCTGTTTTCAGAATATTCTTAGCATGGTTTTTGACAAAATAACGATGATATCCTATGTCTGTCCACCATCTCTGTACATTTCACTGATTAAAATTGTTAAATAATCCTTTGTGGCATGCTTAAATCATCTGCATGTTCCAGTTTGACAATTAATTATTTACATTGCAAGTACTTCCGTTGAAAACGGATGTTCACTTTTTGACTATTCAACAAAAAGATATTTTATACACGAAAAGCACACCAGGGTGCGAACTACTAAATTTTATGGGTGTCATAGATACTCCAGAGAAGAAATTGATGTCCTATCGGGGTTTAACAAAGAAAAGAAGAATGAATCGAGAGAAAAATGGCGGCCGTTTTATTTCATTTTATTTAGAAAATAGACCACATGACCAGATTTTATACTGTTAAAAAATACTGTTACCTATGTAACAGTACAAAATTCTTAGTCATGTGGCACACTTGCATTAACAGTAAAAATAACTTGGGAAATTAGCATCATGAAAAAAGTGAGGGATAATAAAATCAAATGCAATTAACAAAGCCTAACCTTGAACAATTTACAAATATGAAAGTAATATACTTTATTTAGTAATATGTCCGTTCCAATTAAATTGACTAAGGGGCCATTTCTTTTGTTTAATAGAGGCCTGTACGAAATTTTACTCCTGTATTTTTGCCTGAAATACACCTGTTTTTCTGTTAAAAATTACAGCTGTATTTCTTTTCAGTTTAGATAAACGAATAGCAAATTACACCTGTTTTTTCAAAAATACAGCTGTTTTACACCTGTATTATGAACGAAATATGTAAATTAACCGTATTTTTCTACGGGTCCAAAATACAGTTGTACTGTTTTACAGCTGTTAAAATACAGGTGTAAAATTTTACAGGTCTAAAAATACAGGTGTAAAATTTTACAGGTCTAAAAATACAGGTGTATAATTTTTAGCTCAAAAATACAGGTGTAAAATTTACAGGTCAAAAATACAGGTGTCCTTATTGTTTAAGGGATGAAAAAACACACCCTAATGCAGAAATACTTGGTGCAAATATCTTTTTCATTTGAATAAATCTAAAATGCACACTTGTCAGAAATTTTTGGCATTTGTTGCTACTCAATCTATATAAATAAGAAATGGTTGAAGGGGAAATATCTTTGACAAGATTCAGGTACAGATAACAGACATTATGCAATCCAATAGTTCACAATAGCACTCTGTGCTAAGGTGAGCTGAAATATCACTGAAGTAACTAGAATCACTATCACTGAAGATGGGGATAAATACAACCAATTTTCACTTTGTCTTAAATGGATTACTATATTTAATTACATTTACTATTTAGTTACAGTCTTACACAATTGATACTGCATCAATAAAATCCAATTCAAAATCCTGTCATTGAAGAAAAAAATTCACAAATGCTAAAACTGTTTTTTTTTCCAGTAAAAAATTATCATTACAATTTTTTGTAATTTTCACTGAGGCACAGCCAGTATTTACAATTGTTCTTGCCAAATTAATGGCTACTGATATAGGTACTTGGAATGAAGCCTTTGCAAGTGCTTTCTCTTCTCAACTGGTCCCTGCCATTGTGATTTAAGATCCCGTTTGAAGCAACTTCACCTGCATCAAATAAAACAATTAAAAAGTTTCAATAGTTTAACATTAAATGGATACTAAATGATAATAATACTTTCAATGCTTGCATTTTGTACTAATGTCATCAATGCACATATTTATTGTTTAAAATTATTTTTTGTCCAATAGGATTACAGTATTTCAAATGAATTGTAACACATTTACTTTGGTAAATTGGCAAACTGTAAATCAGTTTATTAAATCAACTTTTATAAAAATAATTTAAATAACTAGCTTGTTAAAATTTATAAGTACGTATTTACACATTTAAATTGGTCGTGACTGACCAATTTATTGTTTTAAATAGTACCAATAAACTTCAACCTAAACCAATTGTTGACATTAACTTTCCTGCTTAATGCATCGCTTAATAAAAAAAATATTACTGAACTGTTTCTTTTAGCGGTAAAGGTAACTTAACTGTAATAATTAAGGTGCAAGTTACAAAGAGACTTATTTTGTTTAACCAAGAGTTTCTTTCAAAACTATTCTAATTATTTCAACTATAATTTTGTTTTACCTTGTCTATTTTAGTACTTTGCTTTGTTTCCTGAGGGAACATCTCTGGGAGGTGTACTGTGACCTTTAAGAACAAAATTCATAATTCATTATAAAAGATATGGAAATAAATTATGACATGTATTAATTAGAAGTTAAAAACAATTAATTGTATTTAATATCATCTCTTCAAGACTGTATTCAAATACATAAAGCAACAGTCAATATTGTATTAATTAAACGACAAAATTTACATTTAAAAACTATTTTTCAAGGGTAAATAGAATGTAAAATATTATTTTTCAGAATAAGGTTGATAGAAATAATTGCTAGCAGGCCTGAAATAATACTTGTGTTTTGCATAAATGTATCCAAAAGTTATTACCTGATTTTTGGTGATTCTTATTTTCATCTTCTTATCCAAGGTCATAATGCAGCATTCAAATTTCCCAATTATCCCATAATCCAGAATGTTGTTATTTACATTAACAAGACTGTAGTCTTTTTTTTTTACTTTGAACAGTTAAAAAAATATGCACCCAAACATTTTACATAAAATATTATCTTGAAAATAACTTATAATATATCTCCACAATTTCTTAATTATCAATAAGAACCTTTGTGATACATGAGCACTAGTTTCCAATCTTGCTGAACCAAATGCCTCAGATTTCAAATTTTACAACTGTTGGACAGGTCCATCATGTATATTGTTAGACAGGGTTATACAAAAATCAAAGCACCTATCATTTTATTTTCACAATCATATAAACATATGGGAAAATAAATGTATATGTAGAATTTCAAATTCATAATAATTTTTTAAAAATAAATTTGCAATGTCCTTCTAAACAAATTACTTCATATAAAATCTGTAAAAATTTTTTCCCCCAAAAATAAAACAAATGGAAAAGTCTGACTATAAGAATTTATGGGGGAAAAAAGGGGGTTTCCATTATCAGATGGTCATGGTGTTTTAAAAAAAAAGTCAGTGGGTAAAAACATTTTAGAGTGGTGAGGGGGGAGGTTTATTTATTTTACCCTTGATGAAAATTTCAACGGTCCATTATATTACAAACTTAACTAGATTAAGAGATCTTAATGTATGAGTTTATTTCATACACAATTAACTTTACAGAGTGAAGAAAAACTCAAAATGTCTGCAAATTTACAAACAAACTTTTGAGTCTTGAATAAGTACTAGTACTTTTTATATATTTTTTATACACATACTTAAAAAACCCAGCAAATACAGGCCTAATTGTGAACTATTTCATATAATTTTAAACTAAATGATCATATTCAATGTACATGTACATTGTTTGTATACATTGTATTTTTAATTTCAATGATGCTTACATAATTTTAAAAGATAAATC